TCCAGCATACGTGGTCAAGATAGAAATCTTGCTCGCTGGATAACCCAGTAGACGCATGTACATGAAGAGCGCGACTGCGTACTCGGCTTCGCCCAAATTGATCATCCAGTGCGGTGTGGGTTGGTCTTCACCTTTGCCCTTGTAGTCCTGGACATCGATGAACTGGTACTCGTGCTTGAAACCTGGGTTGGCGATCTGGAACTCGGGTTTAGATAGGACGGAGGGCAGATTCGACAGTGAGGGGTAGCGCCACTTGTAGAGTTCGGCGATGGACGGGCGAGCACGACCTTGCTGGTCGAGCATGATGGTCGGTACACCGAGACGGACGAGGCGTTGGAAGAGGGATTGCTCCAGATTGGCGTACTGGCGGAAAGCGAGGTTTTGGATGACGGGCGAGTTCTGGAGATGGTCACCACAGAGGACGATGCGCTGTAGAGGGAGTTCGCCATCCTTGGGGTTTTGCAATGCGAGGGGGATGAAGTTCTCGATCTCGGTGATCTGAGCAGCCTCTTCCATGATGACATTGTCGTAGTGGAAGCCTAACGAAGCAATCTCTTGTCTCCGCATAGCAGCGTGTGTCGATGTCATGGCAATGATACGGGCCTCCTTGATCAACAGATAGTTCGCCTTGTCCCGCGGGTTCCGCAGGATCTCAAACGGACGGATGTCCTCAAGCTCAGTGAAGATCTTCTCGACATGGCGATAGCAGCCTTGCGCAATCTCAAGGATTTGCTCGCGATCTGCTGCTTGAGGGAAGAGAGGTTGCGGTGCGTTTGAGAAGTAGTCTCGGAATGGGAACTCAGTGATTATCTGGTCAACACTTGTGTCCTCGGTCGTAACACTATCCCAGTATTGCGTCCATGCTGGCTTCACATATACAAGGTTGAAGTAATCTGCAGTCTCGCACGAGCTACCATGAGCACCGGGCGCATTGAAGTTCTTCGCCAACCGATCGACTTCAGACAGATAGTACTGCCCTCTCTCGAGGAACGACTCTACACGTCCATGCTTGCTGTAGCTGACATCAGTCTCAAGGTCCTCTTCACCATGACCCAGACGCAGAAGATGACGCTCATCGATGTCAAGCGCAGTAATCTTTTGGAAGAGCTGGTTAAGCGCCTGATTACTGTGCGCGACGAGCAAAGTCCGCTGGTCCGGGAAGTTGTGGTATAGATTGGATATAATTTGGGTCGCAACGTCCGTCTTGCCGGTACCCGGGGGTCCGAGCACCACCGTGAGACCAGGTTGTGTGCCCGAGGTGATAGCTTCAATTTGGGCAGGTGTAAATCTGACCGCATTCAGCCTCGGCGCATCTGCAGGGTATGGTCCCATGTTCGGCGGTTTGTACGAGGATACGTGAAGCGATTCATGCAGAGGTTGTGCAACCACTTTCTGGTCGCGACGCCGCTTTTTGGATGCTCGAGGAGGTGCGATATTTGGTTCACCTGCAGCAGGGTACTCCACAACGTATGGAGGCCCAAACGATGTCTGTGCGTCCTCGTGGGGTTCGATAGACTTGCCAGGCATTGCCTCGATCAGGTGCTGCCAGTCCAAGAAGGTATCCCGGAAATCTATCTTGTTCAATCGGTTAGGAAGGCGCTTGTACGTCGCCGATGCAGGATCACCATATCCTAAGAAGACCTCTTGGAGCCAAGATGGCGCCGGGATGTCTGAGAGGGTCAGGCGCTTAATGGATTCTAGAATAGGCAGGAAGTTGTTTTCCCGTCCTCTCCGACGGACAATCATGTTGATGTGCTCGTAAACGTCTGGCCTTCCTTCGGCAGTTTGATCCATGTCGGTCTGGTACTGCTTCGCGTCGATATTGACAAGAAGTCGTCGTTGGCGCACCCGAGGTCCAAAGCCGTCGTCGCGGCCTTGATCGCGCAGAGGCCGGCCTTTGTCGTCCAGGACTTGAACCACCTGGGCGCATCTCATTCGGTGCAAGCCAAGCTGTTCTCCAGTTGTGACATCTTCGCGGTGACCATTGCGCATGGGTACGTCGTCTTTGCCCTCAACAGCAAGGAGGAAGACAACATCATCCGGTCTTAGTTGTTCCCAATCCCTTCGTACTGGGTGTTGCAGGCGACTGACGTCCAATATGATCTCGGCACGAACGTATGCTGGGTGCTGCTCGCCTACCTTGGAAGGTGCTACGTCGACGATAGCAGGCTTCATGATAGGGAGTGACATCTTGGAAACGCCACCGAACTTGGTGTTGACGCCTTTACCCTTGGGCTTCACGCGCTTGACCACGTCCTCCATGTCCTTTCGGATACCGTAGAAGGATTCGGCGCGGTACAGGATGAAGGATCTCCACAAGAAGTCGCCCATGGTCAGGTACTGAAGGTTCAGCTTGGGTATAGCGAGTGGTCTTGATCCGTCGTACGACTCGTTTCGCAGGAAAGTGGTCTCGTAGAGAACCTTCTCTGTTGGTAATACGGGCATCTCGCGGACATTGTCTTTGAAGGTCGGTCGCTTTTCTACAAGCGCAATCAGGGTCTCCATGTAGAAAGCTCGATCGCGCACCAGGTAGGTAGAGGCGGGGTACTCTGTTCGTAGGCCCATGAGAGAGCAAAGCTCAACGAGCTCGGTGTCGCTCAGTGTGCGCAAATGGCCATCCAGCTCTTCCCGGTTTCCGATGCTACTGTAGTTCGCCAGGGCCATCAACTGAAGCTTCTCCTGGAAAGCAGCATAGCCCGTCCGTTGCAGCTTTGCTAGAGTGTCGTAATGCTGTTGGTCGTACTCTAGCTTGGACAACTGACGGCCTGTCTGATCCTCGATGGGGAAGTTGGTGAAGTGGCTCAGCAAGTCGAAAAGGTCCCGGAAAAGGCCGTTATCCTCGTCCGTGTACATGGGCGACAACCGAATGGCTGGGAGCATGTTCAAGTCTTGTAGTAGCGTGTTGACATATCTCCTTGTTGGCAGCTGGCTTTGTAGGTCTACCAGAAGCTCCATGAAGCGCTCGCAGTAGGCCATATTGTCCCTAACCTCTTCCCTACTGGTGCTGTTGTATAGCCGGTCGATGAAGTCCAGGAGAAGTGTGTAGATCCAAGAGCGCTCGAATCGTAGCCGAGCCTGTAGCGCTTCGTCGCCAGCATCGAATCGCTTGGATGCGGCCCTCCATGCCTTGCGCAACATGCTGTGTTCCTCGAAGTACTGCTCGCGCACGGCGTCCGAGTGGAGGTTCTGCCATATCGATATGCCGACCAGGGGCGCGCACTCCTTCCGAACAAGACCGCTGTCTAGTGATTGGAAGGCGCCGATGACGAAGGACACGAGCTGTGTTCGGATCTTACTTGGCTGCGACGGGTCTACGGTCATGGATAGTATGCGGCGGAAGAAGGAGGAGAATTCGGCGGGCTTGCTAGCAAAGTGGTCTAGATAACGTCAATACAAGTCGTGCATACTAAGAGTTGCAGCAACTTACCCCATGATGCCAGATTCTCCCTCCTCTTAACATTAACCATAAGCGCCAACAGCAGATGGTGGTAATTCGATGCATCCTCGGTAAAGCCAGGCCACAGATATCTCTCCAGAAGCTGTAGGTTCTCCAGAATCAGAAGCGACGAGTATGCGAAGTCGACATTCTCCAGCTCGTCCCATAGCTCTTTCTTGACCACTTCGGGTCGCACTTTCGGCGTCTTCTTGGCAGTGAGCCAGTTCTTCCTCGCTACCTGCGCGAAATGGTTCTCTCCGTGCAAGTCGGCGACAGTCGGGCGGGCGTGAGCGTTGGACGAGTCGGTCGCATGCGCAGCGGACGCGCCGTCGAGGCCATTTGACATTGACAAGCCCGTGGGCTTGACGTCCTCCATGTCGTCCACTTTCATAGCCATGATCGCAATCGGTGTCGTTGTTGGGCGCACGTGAAGGGGCCGGCGCGCATTGTTGGCGCACGAAGTTGGTCGATGGGTGATGGGGTGTGACGCGCCAAGGAAATAAAAGTAGAGAGAATGGCGTCGCGGGAGCTCTGAGCCACTAGGCCAAAGCCCGCATGCGGCACTTGCCGCCCGTGTGAACCTCACTTCGCGATCCCGCCCAGACATCTCCGCAGTAGAGTCCCCAACACCACCATGTCTGCTCAGGACGCCTATGTCAGGCATCAGGCCGTTGTGCCGGACAAGATTCCCACTGGAGAGTATCCTGTGAGTCAATTGCAGCGCGAAAAGATGCGCAATGGGTGGTGGTAGCTAATGCATGGCAGCTCATCGACAATGACCCGTACGCTTCTCTACGATACCCAACGCATGCGAGTACTGACTGCAGATGAAGACACTTTAAGCGAGTCATTCGGTATGCCCGTCCGTCCGACTGGGCGCAAGGTGCCGCGCTCGGAGCCTTGAGCCCCGGATTGATGATGTACTGGGAGAAGATCTCGCCCTCCATGGTCGGCAAGGGCGGTTTCGCACCCATCATGCGACTGAGCGGTGCTGTCGGTCTTACCGGAGCCTTCGTTTTCGTCTACTCGAGGTCATGCAGTATGTGGAGTCCAGATACAGACAAGACGGGATTGGATACTAACTTCTACGGCAGTGCGCTTCTACGGTGCCCGCGAGAACCGCCGCGAGGTCGAGATGGACATGCGCGAGATGGTCGACAAGGTCAAGAAGGGCGAGTCGCTGTACGGAACCACCGAGATGACCGAGTACATGCAGGGAGTTGCGCACAGGAACTCGCGTTACTCCTCCACATTTTCGCACATCCTCGCATGGCCAAACTTTGTCAACCACCCTTACCACGGCGTGGACACAGCCAAGTACTACCGCCAGGCTGAGTTGGAGCTGGAACAGGAGAGGGGTGGTCGGTAAACATATGATACAAGAGAAGAGAATGGTTTCCTTATAGTGCGGGTGTACATAAGTTCTGATGAACCAGCCATCAAGTTTCAGCACACTACTTTTGGCCGTTGAGAACTGTTCCACACAGACACGACTAGTGATATCCGCGCAGTAACACGATATCTCGATACTTTCTATTTCTTTGATACCCCCTTACTCCCATCCTTAGTTTACAGCCAACCCCTTCAGCACATTCTCTTTTCCAAAATGCCGCATCTTGAACTTGCTAATCCAATCATCCCTATTGATGTACGCTCCACAGATCCTGCGCTTCCCTGTGAAGCTACTCCGTCCATGCAGCACTCGCCAGTTGTCGAAGATGAGCACTCTACCCGGCACAAGCTGTTCCCAATACTCATTCTCCTTCTTCTTGAGTATCGCGTCGAATTTGCGAGCTGCATCGTACCACGTCTCAACTTCCTCGATGGGAAGCTCAATAGATGCTCTATCTGACGTGTTCCACCGGACGCGGAGCAAGTCGCCTGTAGCGGTGTCGTGCTCGAGGACGGGGAAGCCACGGTAGGGTTGTATTGAAATGCCTTCGTTGCCTGAGGCGTGTCCATGGACATTTATTGTTGAGAGAATCTCATATGCTTTGCGGTCGGTTTGCCAGAGTTCGTCCGCAGCTTTGAAGCCATCGACAAGGAGACTTGCACCGCCTTCACCGTCGGTGTGGGAAAGGAGGTGAAAAGCCTGTAGGCCGGCTGGGTCGGAGAAGTAGGTAGTGTCTGTATGTGCTTCTAGTGCAATGTTGGTGTATGCGGTATCCTTGCTCGCTAGGTCGGCCGTGAAGTCGTAGAAGCCGCCGTAGTGCGTTTCCCTAATAAAGGCAATTTTTTCCAGCATCTTCTTCGTGGCCTCTGGGTTCTCGAAAGGCGTCTCATCGACGTAGCAGAATCCGAATCTGCGCAGCCTGAAAAGTAGGTCGTTACTGTTAGGATTCATCGCGTTAGCATACAGAGTCTTTGGTGGATCCGAAGCGATGGATGAGTCCCAGGGTTTGATGTCGACCAAAGCTTGACGCTGTACGGCCTTCAACCTTGCGTTGTTTGTAGCTTGGGAGAGAAAAGGCCCCGAGTATTCGCTTTCATGTCCATCACTCCATTCAATTCTGTGAACCGTCTCAGACCCTCTTGTTTCAGCCGAGTACGACTTGATCGAGATGTCCTCGGGGATGGAAAATGTATCCAGAAGTCGTTGCTTGGTGGCGTCATGCGTGCAAACTTTGCATTGACAATTGTCCCGCAACCAGATGCTTGGTATTAGTCTATCGACAAGGAACATCTTCCCGTCTCGGACTTCAGGGTGCGTCTCGGACTCGGCGCGCTTGTTGAACGCAAAAGGTGTAGCCCCAATTCGCACTCTATATGGGCTTACTTTCCGGATGATGCGTTGTCGACCATATACCCGATCAAGCTCATGGGCAAGTCTCTTAGTCTCAAAGTGTAGTCGCCTGGCTTTGTTCATGTTCTCTACACCAAGGATGGCGTCGAGACCAGGTGTTTCTGGAACCCGCCGTTCAACCTCCTCCTGTTGCGGAGCATCTGTTTGTTTCTCATCTTGCGTATTTTGCTCATTGGCCGTATCAATGGCGGATGACGAGTTAAGGCGAATTGACGCCTAGCATTTTGGTTAGTACTGTGAAAAATGTGGTGTGTCTAGACCAACCTGTAGATATGGTGGGTGAAGCGCGGCACGTCGGGCGAAAGGTGTGGCATGAGCGCACCGGAGTGCTCTTGCCGTAAACATGACACGGATTTGTCCAGCACGAAAGTGAATTAATCAGAATCGCTACACACGAGATACCAAACTCAATAGCATGTAGTGCAACAAAAGAATGTGGTGGGTAGATGGTAAGGATATTCGGATGTCAGGAGCTTAGTATAGCAAGAGCGCTCTCTAACCACCGAACGCGACCTCGGATCTTTGCACCACGACTTAAAGACGGGAGGTTCGCTCAGTCATGCGATTAAGACTATACTAGAATTGGGCTAGCGTGAATTCCAGTGAGTGGCCTCCCGAGGTCGTTGGCATGCCTCATGATCCGAAGAGCGAATTCTGACAAAATGGGAACAAAGGCAAAAAGATGCAGAAAGACGCAAAAAGAAGCCGACCAGACCCCGGCAAAAAGAACGACACCTGTGGGACTCGAACCCACAATCTTTGCCACCGGAAAGCAACGCCTTACCATTAGGCCAAGGTGCCTCGTTGAGGAGTGGATGAAGATTTTGAAAATTTGAACAAATATATCGCGGGGTTTTTGCAGTCCCCTCAACGACAAGCGCAACGACCATACTGCCAGTATACGTATTCTCGAACAGAGCCTTTAGGCCACTATAACGAATAGTAAGTAGCCCTATGTAGGCATCTAAGATATTTATTAACCGACGTTCAGACACCTCGCTTGCATGCGAATGCTCCAACCCATGTGTAGGCGTTGACGCACACGAGATGGTGTGTACCTAAAAGCCCATCGCAGTTGCTTCCTGTTTCCCTCCACAGTACGATCACCTTCATCCTCACATGAATCATCTCGATTCAACACTATCATTGTTGCTTAGCAAACTGAACCTACTCAGCATCATCGTACTAATCGAGGCTCATCTCGAAAAATCCATATCTACCTAACCTATCAACTGTCCCCCATACCGGCACCTCGTACAAGCAAGAACCTAAGCAGGTCTGTAGACTACATCGAACTAAAATCTTGCAAAGTAGGTGACCTAACGTCAACGTAGACTCCAGGGTGTTGAATCTTGTCTATACTTGCGGGCGGGTGTTCGCACAGCTCCTTTCGTATAGAACTGCATGATCTCTAAATTGACACTCTAGTACAATCGCAGTTTCCTTGATCAAGCTGCAAACTGACGGAATGACACTCCCCATCTATCGCGCGTTGTTGCGCGCGACGGATCGGCGTTCACAGACGCCAAGACAATCGGAGCTAGGGTCTCTCACCGTGCACTGGTGCGTACCTTCGTAATCCATAGCTGCCTCTACAGCTCCACATCACCGCCGCACCACAACAACCTCTTTGTCGGCGTCATTCACCACCATCACTCTTGCACCGACCCAGTCATCTCTATCACCCCACACCGCGTAACGTCGCTCTCACAACACCGCCACCATGTCCACACTCGAAGATCTCGACGACCTTGAGCGCCACGAGAAGGAAGAGAAGAAGGACGATGACAAGAAGGACGGAGGCAAGGACGGAAAGAAGGCTGATGGCGATGCAGAGATGCAGGATGCGGAACCAGAGGAGGAGCAGCTCGACGAAGAGATCCTGAACTCAAGCACACGAGACATCGTCGCGCGCAAGCGGTTACTGGAGAACGACATGCGCATCATGAAGAGCGAGTTCCAACGGCTCACACACGAGAAGGCTTCTATGAACGAGAAGATCAAGGACAACCTAGAGAAGATCGAGAACAACAGGTATGTCATCGACGTGATTGCTGTCACCCCGCAGCGCGCTGGACTGAGGCGACTTTGTGGACAACACACTGACATCTATAGGCAACTACCATACCTCGTCGGAAACGTTGTCGAGATCCTTGATCTTGACGTCACAGAAGAGGCGGCTGAGGAGGGAGCAAACATTGACCTAGACGCCACCCGCGTTGGCAAGTCGGCGGTCATCAAGACCTCAACTCGGCAAACCATCTTCTTGCCTCTCATCGGTCTAGTAGACCATGAGAAGCTGAAGCCCGGTGATCTCATTGGTGTGAATAAGGACTCATATCTCGTCCTCGATACCCTACCCGCAGAGTACGACAGTCGGGTGAAGGCCATGGAAGTCGACGAGAAGCCAACTGAGAAGTACACCGATGTTGGAGGTCTTGACAAGCAAATTGAAGAGCTCGTCGAGGCTGTAGTATGGCCCATGAAGGAGGCTGAGCGTTTCAAGAAGATTGGCATCAAGGCGCCGAAGGGTAAGCAACTCATGTGCTCATCTCTAGACATGTGCTAACGATCGTAGGTGCACTGATGTACGGCCCCCCCGGAACCGGAAAGACCCTTCTCGCCCGAGCCTGCGCTGCCCAAACCGACGCCACATTCCTCAAGCTCGCCGGCCCACAGCTCGTACAAATGTTCATTGGAGATGGTGCGAAGTTGGTCCGTGACTGCTTCGCCCTGGCGAAAGAGAAGGCACCTTCAATCATCTTCATCGATGAATTGGATGCCGTTGGTACAAAGCGTTTCGATTCCGAGAAGTCCGGAGACAGGGAGGTGCAGCGAACTATGTTGGAGCTGCTGAACCAGCTGGACGGTTTCGCCTCGGATGACCGTGTCAAGGTACTTGCCGCGACGAACCGAGTCGATGTCTTGGACCCCGCTCTGCTTCGTTCTGGTCGTCTGGACAGGAAGATCGAGTTCCCGCTACCAAACGAGGAGGCCCGCGCACAGATTATGCGTATCCACTCACGGAAGATGACTGTCGACGACGCTGTCAACTGGCAAGAGTTGGCTCGCAGCACTGACGAGTTCGGTGGTGCGCAGTTGAAGGCAGTTTGTGTCGAGGCTGGTATGATTGCTCTCCGGACCGGTCACCAGAAGATCAGCCACGAGCACTACGTCGATGCTATCGCTGAGGTACAGGCAAAGAAGAAGGACACAGTCAACTTCTACGCCTAAGGTGTAGTTTGGTGGTGGTGTAGCCGCTGTATGCGTGCACTCTCATGCCGGGCTTGTAATAATACTTAAACCTTCAGCATAGTACCATAGCGGAATTGACGATTATGAACAACAAGGGTTGAGTTTCAGTTATTTGTTGTGAGTTGATTTGAATATAGCATGAACAGCACATGGCGTCGAGATATTCAGACATCCTACAGTACGTTTACCTCAACCTTGGAATACTGATACAGATCCAGTGGTATAACCGCGCCTCAAGTCTCAAGCATAGCAAAGAGAATGAGCCTTCAAATCAGACTCTGGCCTAGTCTTGGTTCAGAATGGTGATTGAAGATGTACTCTGTTATGTGGAATGATTACAATACCTTCGAGGTGGTTCGCCGGAGAGTCTGGTGCGTCCTCACGTCTCACATCTAGCCAACCCGCCCGCGCAAGGCTGGCAGCTGCCGACATCGTCCGGGATCATCACTCGCACCCGATAACTCAAAGTGACTTGCATGTAGGAAACAACGCCGAGCCACAGTCGCGCTCCTTCCATGCGTTCGACGTCCCTGCATTCTGGCACGCCCTCCCTCTTCCCCTCTGATTGGCCGCCGACCCCACCAAGCGCAACCTCAACCATCCCCGTCTCAACACCAACATGCCAGGCACGTCTCACCCACGCGCAACAACACCACCACCCGATAGGTCGAACTGACGTCTTCGTTCCCTCTCTAGACTCTTGCTATTCAAGATCTGGAGATACTTTCGGTTCTATTAGGACCCTGCATAGCCGCCTCTAGCGGTGGTGCGGTAGTCTACTCAGGGCAGTTCCGTAATGCTGAGAGTAAGGAAGGTAGGTTTCTCTGGTAGGCTGTCTGGGCGCTGTTTGAGCGATCTTCAGAACATGTGGTGAGGGTCATTGGCTCGTAGGTGACGCGAGACACGAGGACGAAGCCATACGCCAGGCTGCGCAGCGGGGTGACCTTGTCTATTGGGCATGCGGGTATGTATGATGACCGAACCGAAGTCGGAATGATGTTGGAGGGACTCGGAATGAGGGCTCATATAACCCCTCCATGGTGTTTGTGGGGTTTCTTTTGTTTTGTTGTCGTTCCTCCCTCTCCTCTCTTGATCATTGCTTCTACTGTCTTGTTGTGAAGTCGCAGCTATGCAGGCTCTCTCAAGTTTTGTTCCAAGTGACCCGTTTCACCAGCTTACGGTTACGCTGTGCCTCGTTGGTGTGTTCCTTACGGTTGTGTTTGCTCTGGCGTTCAGACCGAAGAGCAAAGATCAGGCGCCGAGCACGTTCGAAGCATACCTCAAGTTCATCTATGGGTGCTTTTTGAAGCCTCATACTGGAGACGGATCTGGAAGCCAACAAGATGCTTTGGTGCGTTTGAAGAAGGGACAAAACTTGGAATCTGTCTGACCAAATGAATAGGAAAGCTTCTACAAAGCTCAAGCCGACGTCTACGACGCTACCCGACTCAAGCTTCTTCGAGGTCGTGAGGATATGCTGGGACTGGTCGCTGCGCAGCTCAAGCACCGTACCGAAGCGGGCCTAATCTCGCAACGACCAGTCTGGGTTGATGTACGTGACAGTAGGCTTGGATTATGGTCGATGTGCTAATGATCGCAGATTGGCGGAGGAACTGGTCACAAGTAAGTATGCAGTAGCCAACACTAAGACTACCTTGCTAACAGATTCTCAGTGTTGAACAGATGAACACATTCGTTCCCGTGGCAAGCTTCTTTCGCGCAGTTTGTAAGTCAGAAGGAATCAGCCCATAAAGCTTTCCTGACACACGCAGATGTCGTCGACCTCTCCCCCTCCCTCTGTGAGATGGCCCGGAAAAGGTTCGCCCGTCTCGGTTGGACAAACGTCAAGGTTATCTGCCAGGATGCGCGCGCCTTCCGCCTCCACGAACACGAACCGCAAGCATACGAACGCAAGGAGATGATCTCCAAAGAACAAACCGTTCGCGACCTCGACGAGAATGCGGATGCAGGTGGTGCTGAGCTTGTCACTATGAGCTATGCTCTCAGCATGATCCCCGAGTTCTACCCTGTCATCGACTCAATCGATAGCCTGATGAGCCCCAACGGTGTTATCGGTGTCGTCGACTTTTACGTACAGAACCAGGTCGACTTCATGGGTAGGAACTACATGGGTGGTGCTATTGATCGTCACTGCATGTGGATCTCACGTGTGTTCTGGCGGACGTGGTTTGAGATTGACCGTGTCAATCTCGAGCCTGCACGACGGGTATGTCAAATCCACATCAAATAAGCATAGCTTCTAATAACTCGTAGGACTACCTGGAGTACCGCTTTGGTACAGTCCTTAGTATCAACGCTCGCAACAACTTCTTCGGCACTGGTATTAAGCTCCCCTACTTCATCTGGCTCGGTTGCTCGAAAGATCACGGCGCTTCTACCCAGAAGCTTGCTGAGATTGATGCCGCCGCCACCGAATCGCCCTACCTCACGGCTCTCGACCTCCAGACAGGAGCTACACAGACTGACGTCGAAGTCCACTCAAAGGCCTACGAGTCGGCAGTGGTGAACCTACAATCCAGCCTCCCTCTCCCGGCAACATGGTACCAGAACCATCACTGGCGCATCCACTACGACTCCTCTCTGCCCAAGGGTTAGTTAGCCGTCACGAATAGCTCTTAAGATATCTTGCTAACTTATTACTAGTATGTAGCTCCCTTGCTATGCTTTGCCAACGCGGTGCTAAGACATCTTACTATTCGTGCTAACAGCTTAATAGCACACTCGCTTCAACGACTCATACATCTACGCATTTACCTGGGAAGACGACGTAGCAGACATGCGCCTCCTTAAACCAACCTCCAACGACGTCGTCCTAGCAATCGGCTCAGCCGGCGACAACATCCTCGCCTTTTGTCTCGAAAACTGCCGCCGTGTCCACGCCGTCGACCTCAACCCATCTCAAAACCACCTTCTTGAGCTCAAAGTCGCCGCCTTCACTGCGCTCCCCTACCAAGACGTCTGGAAGCTCTTCGGCGAAGGCAAGCACCCCGACTTCCACAACCTCCTGATCCAGAAGCTCAGCCCGCACCTCTCATCCGAAGCCTTCCAATTCTGGCTGCACAACGGGCCCTCCGTGTTCTCCTCCTCCTCGTCAAAAGGTCTTTACTACTCCGGCGGCTCGGGCAACGCCCTCTCCATCGCAGGCTGGCTCTTCCACCTCCTAGGCATGACCTCGGACGTGCAAAAACTCTGCACAGCCTCCACCCTGAACGAACAACGAGAAATCTGGCAACGCTCCATCAAGACCGTGCTGCACTCCAAGATCCTCACCTGGGCCATCCTCGGCAACGAGAAGTGGCTTTGGAAAGCGCTCGGCGTGCCCCCCGCCCAACGCGCCGTCATCGAAGCGGATTTCAAGAAAACCGACGACTTTGACGAGACAAAGACACCTTCGGTGCCCAAGTCAGATGCAGCAGCAGACTACATGGCGTTCCACGAAGAGCCGTCCGACGACGCGCTAAAGTCGAGTTCTGGAAATGCGATTTACGAATACGTGCTCAACACTTTCGAGCCCGTCATCAACACCACGCTGCTCTCCACCTCAAACCACTACTACCTCCTCACCCTCCTGGGCCACTACACACCAACCTCCCACCCCACATACCTCTCCCCGAAATCACATGTTAAACTCAGTAAACCCAATGCCTTCAACGGTCTCCGCATCCACACAGATGAGATCTCCGAAGTCATCGCTAGAATGCGACCTGGTACACTGACCATTGTCGTCGTGATGGATAGCATGGATTGGTTCCCACCAAGCGGCCAACAAGCGCTCAAACAGATCCGGGCGCTGAACCGCGCGTTGAAGGTAAAAGGGCGGGTTATGCTCCGGTCTGCGGGCTTGGAACCGTGGTATATCAAGGTGTTTGGCGAGTGTGGGTTTGCGGTTAAGAGGGTGGCTGTTAGGGTGCCGGGAAGCTGTATTGATCGGTATGTTTCATCCCCTTTGGATGTCCTGAAGACGTACTTAACTAACTGATGATTGTAGGGTTAATATGTATGCTTCTACGTGGATTTGCACAAAGGAAGTGGGGATTGAGCGCGAGGATGTCAAGGTGGGGTTGCGGAAGGCGAGTTTGGCAGAGTTGAAGCTTGAGGCTCCTGCTTTGCGTATGGAGTAGGGGTTTCTTCTCCTCTTTCTTGTTGTCTCGTGTTTTAGCATGGTGGCTGCTTGTCGTTCTTTTCCTTTTCCCGAAGCTGTTTTCCACATCAGTAGTTGTTGCCAGATACCTAGAATCCTCTCTTTGCACATGTATTCACCTGTGCATGCGTACATAGTACATTGTCCTGATATTAAAGATATAAGCTTCATGGCTTTCCTGCTACGTGTACACATGATATAACATCCAACGCGTTATCGTGGCAGCACCCCCTCCCTAGAGCAACCCCGAGTTGCGCAGTATGAAGCTCGAAGTCTATCGCGGACCGGAAAAAGACGCCCATGCCCAAAAACAGCCGTTGATGGCAACCTGCCCAAAGTTCCAGACCGTTATCCGACGAAGTGAAAGCAGATGGTCAGTCGATCGATCGATCCGACTTAGTTGGCGTTCTGGTACCGAGTCTTTCCGACGGTGAAAGGGACGTAGCGGTACTTGATCATGTGTTGAATCTGTCGTCGCACTACACCAATGTCAGCCATGAACTCATGCGCACATCCCAGCATCAACTTACTCGTCAAGCCAAAAAGAATCAACCAGTAAACGACCAACACAGGCCAGAAGACGGGCAAGTTGAAAATCTCAAACCAGCTGCAGAAGAAGCCAATAGCAATCGCCTTGGTAGTCGAGTACCAGAACTTGAACTCGGGCAGCCTGCGAACAAACGGCCTAAACTCCTGGTCCTCCTTGGTGGGCAGGCCACTCGCATTGCCGTCCTCCATGCCCTCATCTTGCTCGAGCGCGGGGTCGAATTTGGGGGATAGGAAGGCGAGGAAGAGGTTGAGCAGGTAGATGCCGAGCGAGTATGCGACGATGTACCAGCCCTGTGCGAAGAAGATGCGCAGGCCGAAGAGCAGGAAGAGCGTCGCTGTGCCGCCCCATCGGTAGGGTGTGTAGGGCGTTGACTTGTCGAGGTACGTCTGGAACAGGCGCCCGTACTTGGTTGTTTGTGCTGTGACGGCGCTGAAAGGGGTATCTGGCTCGGGCGAGTCCATGGTTGCGTCGCGGCGGGCGTGGGAGGGTGTGTGGTGATGGCGGAGGGGTGAAGTGGGTGCGCCGCGTAGGAAGGCGTGGGTGGGTGAATGCGGAGGCGACGGCTTGTTGAGGGAATCGTGTCAAAAAGTTGAGATGCGTCGCAAGGCTGGGGCTTAGATCGCCGGCGCCCGCCCAGAACGCGCTAGGACCAAGGCAGCGAGTGCCGCTAGTCGCGTCGAAGTGGGATGTTGGTACGGGCATCTTTTGGCGGGCGCGCTTTACCGAGGTGCCGATGCTACCCACTTGTTAGAGCTCTGAGCTCACCTGCTCTCTTTCAATGTAAACACATGTTGCCTGAGCTGGACTCGTAGTCGAAGCTCAATTCTACACACACAAGATGCAGGCGTTACGATCAACACCGAGAGTGGCCTCTCAATTCCGGTCAACGGGTCTACCTAGACTGGCGAGGGGATATGCGACAGAGAGGTCATTCGAGCATTTGCTTGTATCGGTGGCCAGACCTGGTGTTGGTTTGAGTATGTTGCCATCTTCTATTCAACTACCATCATATACTCCTAGAGAGATGTTTTTGGACTAACAACCTCAAGTCCAGATCAACCGTCCCAAAGCCCTCAACGCCCTCTCCACCCCCCTCATCCTCGAGATCAACCAAGCCCTCCGCGACTTCCAAGCCTCAAAATCCATCGGCGCTATCGTCCTCACCGGTTCGGAAAAGGCATTCGCAGCCGGTGCCGACATCAAGGAGATGAAGGACCTTACCTTCAGCGACGCATACGGCAAAGACTTCATAGAGTCCTGGTCCGACCTCATCACATTCCTCAAGAAGCCGCTCATCACAGCCGTCAACGGATACGCGCTAGGTGGAGGCTGTGAGCTCGCCATGATGGGAGACATCATGTACGCGGGGCCCAAGGCCGTGTTCGGACAGCCCGAGATCAAGCTAGGCGTCATACCCGGTGCAGGTGGCTCGCAGCGTCTGACCAAGGCAATTGGAAAGTCAAGAGCCATGGAGGTCATCCTCACTGGCGACAACATCACCGCGCAACAAGCAAGCGACTGGGGTCTTGTCGCAAAAGTGTTCGAGACACCCGAGGAGTGTGTTAGCGGCGCTATCAAGACGGCGGAGAAGATTGCGGGGTACAGCCAGATTGCTGTCAAGGCAGCCAAGGAGGTTGTGAACAAGAGCCAGGAGCTCGGTATTAGGGAGGGTGTGGAGTATGAGAGGAGAGTGTTCCATGGTCTGTTTGGAAGTCAGGATCAGAAGATTGGTATGGCTGCTTTTGCGGCGAAGGAGCAGGCCAAGTGGACGAACAAATAGATGTTAGTAGGGAAGATCAAAGGGAGCGGATGAATGAATTCGCCTTGAATATATCTGTTAGTGCATGCGGTTTCTAAGAGGAGCTGTGTGACGCAGAATACCAAGCTTAGTCTAGCACTCAAAGATGGGCTGTACAACGCGCTAATTCTTCGATATCATTCTGGTAGCGTACTAGAGAATCGCGATTCCAATTCCATCACTTTCGGCATGGAATGGCATCGCATCTCAATGAAGCTACGCGCGCCTCGGCAGCACCCGATAAGCTTATCGGCCGCACCTGACAACCCGCGCACGCACGCGCGTGAGATGACGCGAGTACATGTGGGGAAACTCTGGAACACTACTCCATCTGACATGCCGCTACTCTCCCAGACATCCTCCTCTCCACATGCCCAACTCTCACCATGGAAGCGACACCGCCATGGTTACGCGACGCCCTCCGCTTCGCTCTGACCGCAACAGCATCGACTGAAGCCCCCTGGTGGGCGCACGACTACGACGCCTTCAAAGCCGCTGGCGGAGGCGACCTTGTCGATCCGGATGACCCTGGCAAAGACCCGCGGTTCCGCAAACTCGTCGAAGCCATATTGTTCAGCCGGAGGTTTCTGAACACATACAACTTGGTGCTGTTGGGCGTGCTGCTGGTTTTCACTGTGTGGCATTGGTCCGAGAAGATCGTGCTGCACCGGCGGAAGAGGCGCATAGTCAGTACAACGAAGGAGGATGATGAGACGGCGCATGAAGAAGAGGCAGAGGTCTGGAGTAGCTCGAGTAGTACTATTGAAGGGAATGCGACGCCCCCCGACACCACCGCCGCGAAGAAAATACACGATGCCGATGAAACGAGCCCTCTCCTTCCTTCGCAGCGACCCCGACGCGTGACGAGATCTGTAGTATGGCGTCCTCACTACATACTCAAGTCTGCGCTGCGATACCAACCTCGACCTATACCTGTCGTCAACAAAACACTGCCTACAAACGCCGTCTCGCTGCTCGTCCTCGCTTGGATCGGCCTCAATATTTTCTACAACTTATACCGCATGCCGCTCTCCTTCATGTACCTCTTTGTCTTCGCCGACCGCTGCGGAATCATCTTCATCACGAATCTACCCCTGCTTTATCTCCTCGCTGCGAAGAACCAGCCGATAAAGCTGTTGACGGGATATTCGTATGAGAGTCTGAACATCTTCCATAGGAGGGTAGGAGAGCTCGTATGTCTGGAAGCGTTCCTGCACTTTCTCGGTATGGTGGCTGTGTGGTATGGCATGTTGAGGCATCTGGGGTTTACGCTGGCGAGATTCATATTCAATCGCGTTGTGCTGTTGGGTCTAGCCGCGCTGATTGCGTATGAGTTGATCTACTTCACCAGCCTGGGAAGCTTCCGAAAGCGGTGGTACGAGATCTTCCTAGGCCTACACATCGTACTTCAAGTCGCTGGATTGGTGTTCCTATGGTTTCATCACCACACCTCACGGCCGTACGTCGGCATCTCCCTCGCCATCTTCCTCGTCGATCGACTAGTCTACCGTATGTGGCTGAAGTCCAGTACCCACCCCGCAACACTAGAAATCCTGGAAGACGACGAGACCCTGCTGCTTTCAGCAAACTGGGAAGTCGACACGAAGAAATCCGCGGTACTAGCCAAGAACATGACACAAGGCTGGAAACCAAACGAACACATCTTCATCTCAGTCCCATCTCTCTCCCGCAAACACGGCATCCAATCCCACCCGTTCACCATCTTCTCCGCTGCCCCGACAACATCAACGCAAGACGGCCAAGGAAAACACGCCTGGTTCTCCCTCCTCATCCGCGCCCAATCCGAACCAGGTTTCACACACTCCCTCCTCCGCCACGCCCGCGCCTCCCCAAACCCAACAACACAACTCCGCATCCGCCTCGACGGCCCCTACGGCTCATCCCACGCCCTCGACCTTCTAGAATCCTCTTCAACAGTCATACTCATCGCAGGCGGATCCGGCATAGCAGTCGCCTACCCCCTCCTCTACGCCCTTTTGCAACCCCCGCCCACCGACCCCGAATCCACACTCCGATCCCAGAGAAAAGTAAAGTTACTATGGATAACGCATTCACTCGATCACCGTCTCTGGATCCCAGAGGATAAATTAAAAGAGTTAGAAGATTGGGGTTTAGATGTGCTCATCACGCCGCCGACGACACTTGCCGGGCGACCGGATGCTGGGGGGATTGTGAAAGAGTGGGTTGAAGAGGAGGATGTAAATGGGAATGCGAGGAGTGGTGTTGTGGTTAGTGGACCGGATGGCTTGGTCAGGGATGTAAGGAATACGTGTGCGGAGTTGATTTGGAGCGGGAGGCATGTCGATGTTCAGGTTGAGAAGTTTGGGTGGTGAATGTCTTTCATTTCGACAACATATATGGAGTTGGATGGCTTTTTGGTTCTCTGGAGTTTGTGATAGACGGGGTGGGTGGGGAGGAGTTCTGCTTTTACTTCTGCTGGTGTCTTCAACATTCGCTGTAGCGTTTTCTTTTTATGAGAAAGGAAGAAAGAGTTTTGGGAGGATAGAAGTGGCATGGGTATGCCATATCCGAGTATTGACTAGGTGGACGCCTGTGACGATTCTGATGACAAAATGATCATTTGATCATTCACATGTTTCAAATGGTCATTTTGTCATCGGAACCGTCACAAGCGTCCACCTCGAGCAGACTGGGACGGAGCTCATGGGGATTGACCCTATACCATCGTACGAGTCAATCCACGTGGTTGCTCACCCAAGCAACCAAGTGGATTGGGTCGTGCGAAGTTATCAGCTTCAACGCAGTCTACTCGTAGTAAATACTCGGGTATAGCATTGAAATTAGAAGACCTAGCTATCTTCCGTGTTAAGACCCATCGGACAAAACCATCTCATCTATGTTTACACCACTGAATGCTAATCCCTGTCCCCTAAGTGTGTAATAGACTGGCACATCAGCCTAGGAAAAAATTAAACACCCTAGAGCCTACATTAAGATAAAAACATGCAAACCAGGCGGCCTAAGATTAACGTAGGCTCCAGGGTGTTCAGCTATTTTATTGTATGAAGTGCTGGGTGGGTAGGAGTTCTGCTTTGCGCTTGTTGTCTGGTCTTGTCACATTTGCTTTGGCTGTCACCTGTGAGAAGAACAGAGAGAGAGAGAGAGCATTTGGGGGATGACAGTGGCGATGAGTAGCCATGTCCGAGTGTCCAATCGGTTTCCGGTTCCATTAGATGCCGACGGTGTGCCTTCACCACTAGATTTGTCAAGTTGAGGGATAGCACTTCGCCGGATATCTCTCAACTTGACAAACCTAGTGGTGAAGACACACCATCGGCATCTAATGGAACCGAACACCTAGTGAACACTCGGACAGAGCATTGGGATCAGAAGATGCAAGCATCTTTAATCCTAAACCCATCAAACAAAACTATCTCCTCTATCGTTATACAAACGTTCCCCCACTAAACGCCAATGCTTGTCCCCCAAAACGCCCATGCCAATGCGACTAGCCCAGAGTAGCCTTGAATATCCAAGCCCTCCATGCATACACCTCAGCCATCCGCAATGAAACTCGTGACCCGGGATTAAATCTACCGTCCCCGAGCAATATCCCTAGTCTCCTTCTTCTTCTTAAGATACGCACTAATCTGCTCCACCTGACTGACAAAGAAACAGCGATTCGCGTCGTTCTGCCACACCAGCACACCCAGCGCACCCGCATACCCCAGCACATCCCTGTACTCTGACTCGGAGCCAAATTCGCGCATCAAGTACCCCGTCGTAGTCTCCACACGCTCGCCTTCGTATTCCCAAAGCCGGATCTGATCCATGACCGTAGGCGGGATGTAGGGAATAGTCTTCTGCATCTGAGGATGCGCGTAGGTCGTCAGATAGGAGATGATTTGGCTCGACGTGATGCCCGATTGAACGGCTTTGTGGACGGATTCTTTGGTGAGTTTGCCGGAGACGAGGTTGGGGAAGCGATGTTGGAGTTTGGTGAAGAGGGATAAGATGGCGATTTGGATGAGGCTGTTTGTGTAAGCGTAGAGGCGATAGTTTGTTTCGATGATGATGAAGCCCTTATTTGCGGATGCCGAGGGGCCGGCGTTGCCTTGGGAGGCTTGGGCGATGTCGTTGGAGGAGGCGGACATGGCGCTGCCGGAATCTGAGGTCAGGGTTGTGGCGAGGCGCGTGGGGTAGAAGGTTCGCGCGTTCTTGTCCGAGCGGTAGACAAGGCCCATGGAGGAGAGGTCCTCGAGCATCTGGGATTGGGTGGGCGAGAGCGTGGATGTGGAATAGTCTTGGCCTAGTTCTAGAGAACCAAGCATGAAGAGGAAGGATAACACTTCGGTTTCGGACATGCCGAGCTGGGGGTCGAGGTCAGATTCGGTGTAAGTTGGCGCCGGCTGATCTCGAAGAGGACAGTCGTCGCAGGGTTCGTGGGGTTCAATACTTACTTCGTTGGTCATTTTCAGGTAGACGATGAGCAGACTCCAGACTTGGGCGTTCGTCTCTTGCAGCACAAAAGAGAAGCCGTCTTTGGTAATCCTTGGACTTCCATGTACGGTCCTCACAAGGTCACCGGTATGTAGCAGCTTCTTCGTTCCAGGACCGACTTCTGCTCTCTCGATGCTGTCTCTGCTAAGTCCAGCCGCGCCGCTCACCAAGTAGTAGAGTATACCCTCCCATTGCGATCGCGAGTATTCATCGAGGAAGTCGATGCTTAACCGCTTTCCGCCGCTCTCTTCTCTGGTCGCCGGCACACCGAACGAGCGGTGGGTACCGGAGCCCTCGAGGGCGTTTCGCAGGCTGCCTTGAAAGTCTTTGCTGAGTGTCCACGAGAAGGTACCGTCGTCCTGTTTAGCAGGGGCAATGATGTGTAGGCGTTCGAGGGTAAAGAGAGCCTGTTCCTTCTCTTTCCTAGCGGAAGGCTTGAACCAGGCGTCCATGTCGGCTACGGGGAAGGATGAGGGTCTGTAGAGCATCGCAAAGACTATGGATTTGGCTGTGGCTCCGTTAGCGACAGGATCGCGGACGTAATAAATGCACTCACCAAGATGCGGAAGCATGCAGCGGAGCACCGCCAACACGGTGGAAGGCTGCTCATACAGCCGCCGGTGTGTCGCGACAGGCAGACCCTCGAGATATTCCAGCGCCTGAGATGAAGATGAAGCCGACATCGTGGGGGATGTGGAGAGGAGGATGTCGGTCTACCACCGTATTATCATGTTCGGAGAGAAAGGGTCCATATTAATGTAAACCTAGTTTTATTTGCTAAGGCGCTAGTCTAGAAGTAGATTTTTTCCTCCTATAACGCTACTCTTCTATATAAATAGTAAATATTATAAAAGTCTAAAACTAACTTATAACGCTAGCTTTAACTACTTTAACTATCTTAAACTAGTTATATACTAAACTTAGTAAGTAGTATATTTACTAAGCTTACTTTTTACTACTATACTCTTCTTAAGAACTTTCTTTTAGAATTTATTAGCTACTACTTAGTAGTAAGTTAAAAAAGTAGCGCTTTAATTATAGCTACCTTTTATATATAAAAGTAGAAATAACTTAGTACTATAATATTAGAAACTCTACTTTAAAGTATAAACTAATTATATACTATTATTAAGCTACTTAAATATATATAAAATTATTTTAGCTACTTTTATATCTTAATAAAGTAGCTATACTTTTTTTATTTCTAATTCTTTAAGTATTACTTTAAAGAAAGTAAGTAAGTAGTAAAAAATCTTATACTATAGTAAAGAATTAAAATATAAATATAAGAATAATACTATAAAATTATTAGAGAAGCTAAAAAGTTAATAGATAATAAACTAAGTGTTTATTATTATAATAATCTAGTTATTTATTATTATAATAAAAAGTTTAAAAAAAAGTAGTAGACGTGTATTTTATAAACTTACTAGTTAAGCTTTAACTCTAGTTCTATATAAGCTATTATAAAACTTATTATACTAACTTATTATAATAACTTATTACGCATTTATTATAAAGTTATTTTTAGCTACTATAAGTATATATAAAAATAACTACTTTAGATAAATAGTCTAGTAAACTACTATTACTAAATATTTTCTCTTTTAATATATATAACTAAAGTACGCAAAAAGACCTCTTAGGCTTAAGCGCGAAAGACAGAGAGAAAGGGTCCACGAGTTTGGGCGGTAGCGACGCGTGGGTCGCGCAAGTGGAAGTCGCAGGTCGCCAATCGCCAAAGAAAGTTGATGACGCGCCGAGCGAGCGGAAAGCTCACCCCACAAATTCCGCTCCACCCTGGTCTAGCTTCCGAGGTACGTGGGCAACTGCCGAGCGGAACAACGACATCACTCTTCGCACATCGCGGGGTGAGCATCAATCATGCCGGCGCTGAAGTTTGTGAGATCTGTGAGTTAACCAACCATGTCATTGACCAACCTTGTGGGTTTTCTAACGTGTCGCTAGGTCTGGGAGTCATTCCGAGCGAACTCAGGCCTGGAGCCAAGGTACCGCCAACACCTAAGCATGTATAGACGAAGCTAATAAGAGCGACATGAAAGACTACTAGACGGTGTAGGTTATGAGAGTTCATATCTCTGGTACGTTGTCGTGCTAACACCAATTCTAGCTCCGAGTGACCTCAGCAGTCCCAGGACGCGTCAAGTTCGAGCTCGACATCCAGAAAGAGCATACGGTTCGTGCTATCCCACCTATCGTCTCCTACCATGTTCTTGAAACTCACCTAATGTAGAATCGCCTTAATATCCTCCACGGCGGCACAATAGCTAGCATGGGTAAGCCGTCCCTCCCAAAACCCCCACTCAAACACCAGTATCTAACGAACCCCCAGTCGACCTCGGCGGCTCCCTAGCAGTAGCCTCCCGCGGGCTCTTCGCAACCGGCGTATCCACCGACCTAAACGTAACCTACCTCTCCTCCGGCGGCAAGATCGGCGACTTGATCAAGGCCGAGGTGACGTGTGACAAGTGTAAGTCCATCATAGTGGCATGCCTTGCCTTGCTCGAGATACTCAGTCGCTGATTACATAACTCCAGTCGGAAAAACACTCGCTTTCACGTCCATCAACTTCAGCAACAACAAGGGAGAGGTCTTCGCACGGGGAAGCCACACCAAGTACGTTGCGTTGGCGTGGAAAGACCCCAACAACATCGTTGAGGAGCTTTCACCTAAGCCTGCGAAGAAGGAGTAGAGGCACAGATGTGGTGAACATGATGCGTCACGGCGCATATCATGTGGGAGAATATGAGGCCTGATCATAGCACTATGTATACATACGTCTGGTCCTGGGCCTAGTCGATAGGCTTGGGCTTAGCGGCCCGGGGACGAGCTGCTCTTGAAAATCACTTCGAATTGTTGGGAGACCTCATCGTTCGATCTTCCAACAATTCGAAGCAATTTCCAAGAGCGTCTCGATCTCGGATTGCTAAGCCCAAGCCTATCGGATAAGCCGTTACAGACCGCGGGCAAACAAGAGCCTACTGACTCGTGATTATTTGCATGTGAAAGCCATAGAAAGCTTCAAATCTCGTGTCGTTTCATCAATTGTACAAATGTCATGCTCTGAGCGTTCAGCACCTCAGTCAATGACTGTTGCGGTTCTACTCAAGCGGTAATGTCGACTAACAATTACATTACTACCTCTTTGTGGATATCTAACAATGCATGCTTCCCGTGCAGATCACAAAGTTGATGTCTCGACGTTCTCATGCCATGCACAGTATCTCAAACTCTCGCGCTTTCTTCTTGCCATCGTTCTGTCTCGTAACATCTTTTACTCTTTGCAGGTTTCACATGATTGTAACCTCATCTTCAACTTCCGTATTCTCGTCCAGATCGTAACGTAGCCGTCCACCTTCCACAACCTCATGGTAGGATTATGAACCGTCCGAGGACGTCTCTTGGTTCCGCTCAGTCGAGTCGTCGGATTTGTTCCAGCCCTTGCCCTTCATTAGGTTGATCAGGCTAGCCTTGCGTGGGGTCAGCTTCCTTACGGCCCGTCCAAAGGCTCCAGCTCCTGCAGAAGTCGTGTTGTCGTCGTGCTTACGGAATGACATTGGCGGAAGGTCTGCCGGATTGCCGAGCAGTTTGTGCTCTCTCCTGTATTTGTACTCGAACTCCTGGGCGTAGTCAGCAAAATGGATTCAGAGTCATGACGCAGATAGAACGTACCCAAAGGCTATCTGCTGCTTGATCGGAAGTGCACAGGTCGCGCAGTTGTCCGAGTATGTAGCACGCCGCCAGCTTGTCTTGATTCAATTTGCATTCTCCCAAGAGGCCGGAGGTTTGATAGGCAGGATCAAGTTCAGCTTTCATTGCATCGGTACGCCATTGATCGTATCGAGACTGGAATCTTCCAGCCCAGTAAAGCGGCGGCATATAGTCTTTAACCTGCAAGATCTCATTGTCAGCAACGTCGGACCTCTCTTGCCCATGTCTACTCCGCGAGCGGCTGGAAGAATAGGCCCAGAGATTTCCAGCGTTGTTTGGTGCTCTGATCGGGACTCTGGTTGGTACTGGGGGGAACGCCGCCAGACTGAAACTAGATTCGGTGAATTTCATTGATGACACAAGGCTCCGTCCAGGCTGACAAGGTGTATATGTCGGCGTGACACTCAGTCTTTCTTCGTCCGTCTCCTCGGGTATCAATTCGCACGAGCTCGCGTCTGATCTGACCCTGACATGTTGAGACGGGACAGTGCTCTTCGGATCCATGCATACTGACTGGACCAAGTCCGACAAAGACGCTGTCCTGTACTGCTCCGGGATGCGAGGTACTGGTGGAGCGACTTCCAGGTGGCTTCCAAAATTATGGAAGGTTTGGGAACGTGGAAGTCTGCTCACCTCATGTGTAGTCATCGCCAAAGCATGGGATGATCGCCAGACGCCGCCCAAACCATTTGGTGTTCCTAGCGTTTTCCTTTGCTTTTCTCTGTCCGTGGGTAGCCGGGGAAGGGCTGGCCTGACATTATCGTTCGCATCTGGAGCGGGTGTTGGAAGGTCGGTGTTGTGAGGCGGGGCGGCTGCAGAGTTCGATATCGAGGGTGATGCTGCTGGTGTATCTTTTTGTTCCTCCGACTGTATCCGCTTTACTGTCACTGGCGTCTGCTGTGCAAGCTGTGAGCTCATCCTCTTCCTTACTGTGGGTGGAGTCGCGAAGCTAGGTTCCCTGCTCTGTGAATATTGTAGTCCCGAACCAAACGACCTTCTACTGTTCAGTGTACCGGGCACTGCAAGTGATTCCCTCTTCAGCGTCCTCTCTTGTATCTGCGACCGCCTGTGTGATATACGTCTTTCCGTCGGTATGTTCTCTTGCAGAAGCGGCCTTTGAGCTACTGGTGATACCACAGACATCTTAGGTCCTGGCCGCCTGGGAGCCATATATCGCGCCGACTGTGGCCCGTTGGCTGTTTTGACGAGATTTGGTGTCGTACGTGAGCGCAACTGATAGGAATGCTTCACCGGAGAGCCATTGTTTGCGGCTGCCAACGCGTGGGCAGTCGCGATGTGTTTGATCTGTTGAGAAGCGCGGTACGAGACGTGTTGTTGAACGTGTTGACGTGGACTAGAGCGACGGCGCTCTAGGGATGGCGGACTGGGAGTAGGAATCTTCGAAGGTACCGAGTCTGGCTCTGATTGAGGCATTACCGCGAGAGAATGGGACTTGACTGCGCCTTCTACGTCTGCGGCGAACGACTGAGGCTCTACCCTAACCGGGAGCGGGATGAAGCTCAGCGTACGCGATCGAGGCAGTGGCTGCGGTGTGGTATCGGTATCTGCGCTTTTGGGTAAAGTCTTGCTGAACGGGACTGTTGCGGACTCTTCGGTCGCATCGTTGGAGTGGTTGGATGGCGCAGAAACACGCATTGGTGAAAGCGCGGCTTCGAATATAGGATTCGTTGTAGTAATGTCGGTTGCAGATGGTTCGGTAACAGCCAATGACGGTACATTCACTTGATGACGTCCCGGGGTCGTCCTTCGCTGCGAGAGAGGATTTGATATGAAAGCGAAGCCATAGCTGAGCTTTCTCCGGAATTTGCTGCTGCTGTTTTCTTGAGGCTCGCCACCCACTGGGAGGTGAGTTGTCGATTTTTCTCTCCAGCCCACCATCGCCGCTGCTCCGTCTCCACTTGGCTGAGGCGTCTCCCACCGCGCGCGAATCTGCTCGAATCTGTGTCGATCTGAATATGTTAGCATGGCTGGAGCGTGGTGTGCAGCGTTTGTGGGGAAGAAAGACTTACACGCGGAAGTGTTGTTGTTGTGGATGATGTTGTCCTTGAGGAGGTAAACAAGGAAGGCACGAAGCAGCCACCTCGGATTAAGAACAACGTCATGGAACGAAAAGATGCAGTCGTGACCAAACGACAGGAAGGAGCAACTGCAAACGCCCCCGAACTGCAATCGTGTGGGCTCTTGGCGTAAAGCCGCCAATATGCTTGACACTCTCCACGCGTCCCTGGTCAACAGACATCTGCATCTGAGTTTGCATCCTCTGTTCGACCAACCTGAATTTGTCCTGCACCTGACTGATACCACGACATGAAAAAATAAGGAGGATATTAAGACAACAAGACAATGGGTATTCAAACATTGAAAAGCACAAACCTAAGACACCATGCTATGCTATGCAACCATTCCCTCAAACAACACCAAAGATGTTATTACCCGTCTCCTTTACTCCGAGTCACTGTCAATGACAAAGCCAGCCCTCATGTTGCGCGCCGCCGCTGGTCTACGTGCTACCGGTGCATCATCTTCATCGTCGTCCGTGTCTGCGTCTGGCATCGTAGCATCCGTGCTCTTCGTCGCAGCATTACTCGCTGACTTCCGAGGCGTGTCCGCGTCACTAAGTGCTGCTGTTGCACCAGCGTTCTGCGATGAAAGTGGCGTATCTGTAGTTTCATCCTCATCCTCATCTCCCTCCTCATGACCATCAACCACGGAAGGAGCTTGGCTGCTCTCTGCATCTTCCATATCGTCGTCACTATCGGCGAATGGCGCTTTCCGTTTCGGTGGACTCTTTCTCCTCTTGCTCTTCTTGGCCGGTGCATCAGCTTTTCGCTTTTTGGATGCGACTGGCTCCACGGTTCCAAGTACGAGCGACTTTTTGAAGACTTTCATGTTTTCCTCGCGGATCGCCTGTTCTCGCGCGAAGAAAGCGGCATCCTTCTCAGCGTCCCAGTCCTCGTCGTCTGAGTCATGCACATACATGGTACTTAATGCTTTGGCTTGCTTCTCGATTTCCTTCTTGCGACGTGCTTCGGCTCTGCGGTCCTTCTCTTCGTCGTCAAGCTCCACGGCACTATTCCTTCGGCGTCGTCGCTTCAGCGTCTTGCGAGGGGCGTCTGTATCTCTCTCAGTGGGACCACCCTTGGCGTACTCTCCGTGGTCCTCTTCCTCGTCGCGGTCTATGCCGTCAGAGTCATCGTCAAACTCGGCCCGACGAGTGGAGCGTCTAGCTGCTGCAGCCTTGCTACGAAGCAAGTCTTCTGGCGCTTTGCCGTCCTCGTATGTTGGGGGATCGAACTCATACTTGCGAATGAGATCGATGGCTTCTTGCAATTGCGTTGAAGTAAGTGATGAAGGTATGATCCATGAAGCATCCGGATCGTGGTGTTCTCCTAATCTCTCGAAACCGACTAGGTTCATGAGCAGTCGTAATTTGTTGTCTTTGAACATAGCGACGCGACGTTCTTCGGTATCGTGCTTGATGACTAGACTCGGTTAGCAGACTTCCTCACAGTGAGAGGGATACTTACAGATCGATGGCGGCTTCGATGTTTCAGTGTCTGAATTCTCAGGTGCCTCGCCTTCTGGACGCTCCTCTACGTCAGCCACCAATGCCTTTTGTGCTTCAGCTGCCTCTTCCCACGCCTTGCGCTCTTCAGCTGCTGATGTAAGCACATCGCGTACCCAGCGGAGAGCATCCGACTTTGACTGATTAACAAGAACACCAACAGCGACACCGATCTGATCAGGTAGCTCCATTCCAGGTTTGACCTCAAGCTCTGCCGGAGCTCGTGGCGCTCGAGTGTGTATCTCGCGATCATATCCGTGCTCAAGGAAGAAGATGGTTGCAGGGATCTTGTCAAACAGCATCTCGACTACCAGCTCTGGCCTCTCTTGTACTCTCTTTACAACCTGCCTGAAGAAGTGTTTGACAAAATCATCCCACTCTCTGTAAGCTGGCGACTCTGGATCAAGACCACCTGGACCTTTCATCATCTTGTTGAAAAGCGCCAGGATGTCCACTCTGCACAGCAGGACACCAAGCTCCATCTTGAAAGCGACACGATGGAAGAAGCGATGTGCGCGCTTGAGCTGCTCGGTATCGAGGTCGCTGAAGTACTTGGCAAAGGCAACGAATGTGTTGACGCTACTTTGATTCACGAACTTTGCCGAAAACTTCATGAAATCGAACTTGCGTTCGGAAACCGTCTTTTGGGCTTGTTGGAGGTCTTCAGTCTCAGAGACGTTGCCCTCTTCCTCTCCGTCTTCGCCCTGCTTTTCAGCTTTCTTCTTCTTGATCTTTCGGGCTCGACGTTTCGATCGAATTTGCATGTCAACGTTCTGCTTCGCATAGCGCTCGAGCATCCGCAAGAATACGTGAGACAACTCTGTGACTGCGTCAAGATAGCCAAACCCTTGGTCTTTGTATGACCTCAGGATCATGACTATCCTGTCATGTGTTGATTCTTCATAGAAGATACGGTTCTGGATGTTCTCGGCAATCTCTTGGTCTTCCTCAAGACCTGACTCGGACATCTCATGCACGGTAAGCAAGATTTGGGTGAAGCACTTAAGCCCGGCGTTGAGGTCTCGCCATGCCTTCTCATCTTGACTCTTCTGCATGAAGCGGTTGAGTAGAATGAAGGTCTCCTGATTCATGACTTCGGCTACTAGTCCGTAGCTCTCATCCTCAGCAGACAGAACTTCAGGACTCTTAGGGTCTGCGGCCCTCTCCTTCATCGTCCGCCGCCGTGCGCACTCTGCTCGTAGGAACCACGATACGAGGTAGAAGAACTGCCTGGAGTGTCGTGTTTCCACACGCTCCGTTTCGCGCTCGATAGCTTTCCGCAGATGCAGGAACAGAGGGTTGAAGGACGAGTCCAGGAACTCCTCGACGAACGCTTTGATGTGTTTCCGCGCAGAAGAGGTCAGTGGTACCGGGAGATCGAACTCCTCCCTTTCTTCATCGCCGGCTTGCTTCTTCCCGGGACGACGGGGTTTATTCCACTTCTTTGTATCATCCATCTTCTGCATGCTAGCCTGAGCCTTCCCTAGCACGTCCTGCCCGGATATAGTTGTGACCTTCTCGTCGTCCCGCTTCATCCAGATCATCGTTCCGAATCGGTTATGCCGGGTTGGTGCGTTGCGGGCGTAGCCTGCAAGCATGGCCTTTTCTTTCTGGATCAAGCCCTTAAGCTCGTCCGTGTTCTTGATGTTGAGCTTCTTGTCTTCCATGAACAACTTCTCAGCATCGATGCCCTTGAGGAGGAAAAACAAGATTTCGAGAATAACAACATCCTGGGTGACAAAGTCCTCCCCGATACTAGACGCTATACTCAGAATCACCTGAAATATGTCCTGCTCGTGGAAAGTATCAATGGTTGCAGATCGGGAGACTTCAGCTTCGTCGGTGTCCATGTGTGCATTGTTCGGGGGCGCGAGCATGGCGATGTTGCGTATGAAGTATAGTGCGATTCGGATGATACCCTCGTCTCGTGGTGTGCGTTCTCGGAGGGGTACGGCCATGGAAGGGAGCGCGATCTTGACAGCAGTCTGCAGGGTTCTGTCTCGGTCGAATTGCAGAATAGCACGTTTGTAGCCAATTTGGGCGAGCCCGATATAAGGCCCATGCCTGTGGTGGTTTACGGTCGCTTCGGTGGGATCGATCTCATTAGGCCATGTCAAAGGCACGAGAAGTTCCACTGCGGTTGTCAGTACAATTTCAAGATTCGGAGTATACTTTCTCACATGTCGCAACCGCAATCTTGTGCTTCCAGGCGCTTTCCATGACAGTTGGTGATATCTTGGCCAGTATCTCAAGCAAGTCGCCCTTTACGAGGTTTGCTTCGGCCATGCATCGTGCTACATCGCGCCGATTGTACTGCCCGTCGGCGAACTTGAGCCATTTCCGTAGGTCCTTGAGACAGAGGAGGGCGTCGTGTCCGAGTGCATACGTGCCGTCATCACCAATACCACCGAGCTGATTGTATGTCAGTAGCCATTGTGTCAGTGGAAGGGGTACGTACAGCAGATATCAGACTAGAGACGTGAGCGCGAACTTCTGGGTTCACAGTATCCTGCGCCCAGTCGTCCAGCGTTGTCTGAGCCATTGTCGTGGTTGATGCTCAGATTGGCCGCCGGTGTCGCGATGGCCCAAAAGACGCGTCGACGCGTAAAGTGCCACAAGCGGGACAAACCGCGCAAAACCGCCAAGACAGGGCTGATCCTCGCCTTCCCGCCGCCAGTCAACGTCATGCCTCGGCTAGCCCGCCGCGGTTCTCATCGGCCTGGGGGAACGCAGTCTCGTATCACATGTTGATCGCGCATCTTCCACAACTTGTGCAATCCTTCGAGTAATTACACACACGATGTTTTCTGTAGCCTCAAAACAAGTCGCACGATGCGCTGTACGACAGCAATGCCGCGCCTTCAGCTCAACACCCTCTGTCGGTGCTGCCGCTGAGGTCAAGAAGCTGGGTGTTATTGGAGCAGGGCAGATGGTATGCATCAATGCACCAACCCTACAGCTGTCAATCTAACATATTCAGGGCCTCGGAATAGCTCTTGTAGCAGCACAGAGGGCCTCGGTACCAGTCCGGTTGATTGACAACTCCCAAGCATCAATCGACAAAGGCCTGAAGTTTGCGGACAAGCTCCTAGAGAAGGATGTTGGAAAGGGCAGAATCTCGAAAGATGACGCCGCAGCGGCAAGAGAGCGATTGACTTCCAGCACATCGATGGACGATCTATCAGACGTCGATTTCGTTATCGAGGCCGTACCAGAGATCCCAGACCTAAAGCACAAGATCTTTTCGCAACTCGCGCAGATCTGCCCATCGCACGCCATCCTAGCTACCAACACCTCGTCCATATCGATCACCAAGATTGCGGCGAGCACTACCACTGACCCAACGGATCTCTCGGCTTCATCACGCGTCATCAGCACACACTTCATGAACCCAGTACCCATACAGAAGGGCGTCGAGATCATCACCGGCCTCCAGACCTCGCAAGCTACCGTCGAAACCGCAATCGCTTTTTGCGAGAAGATGGGAAAGATACCGTCCAAGTCCGCCGACAGCCCCGGTTTCCTTGCAAACCGCATCCTCATGCCGTACATCAACGAGGCTGTCATCTGCCTGGAGACGGGTGTAGGCGCCAAGGAGGATATCGATAGCATCATGAAGAACGGAACGAATGTACCTATGGGCCCACTACAGTTGGCGGATTTCATCGGCATCGACACTTGCCTGGCGATCATGCAGGTGTTGTACCACGACACGGGTGATTCCAAGTACAGGCCCGCAGTGCTGCTCAAGAAGATGGTCGATGCAGGCTGGCTGGGAAAGAAGAGTGGTAAAGGATTTTACGATTATTAGAAGAAACAATATGAAAACGCAGACACTATCGCGCACAATTATATACTTGTGCTCCGAAGTCATGCCCTGCAACCCGTCGCGCCCATGACATAGCCTGAAGGTGCTCTCCATCAAATCCCATATGCTCACACCCCCTACCCTACTAACCATCGAACATCATCCTCCGAGAAGTCACCCATATAGTCACCCATATTTGGGATCTCTGTCTTCATCGAAGGTCCACCGTTAATCTCCATCTCATCCTCATCATGCGCACCCATCAGCGGCACCGCCGCTCTCGCCAAACACATAAGCTCCCGCTCCCTCTCCTCCTCTTCTTCCCTCCCACTACAAACAGCCCAAGTCCCCTTGCCCCACAACTTCTCCTTCAACCAAGCCATCTTCCCCCTCTTTTCATCATCCTCTTCCATCTCCGCCTTCAACCCAGTTCCAAATTCCAGCTCGCCCCTCTCCCCTCTCTCTTCATCATCCATCTCCACGCCACTGAGTCCCAGATCACCCATGTCTTCACACTTGTAGATAAGCGGCGTAACACCCAGCTTCACTACCTCCAGAAAGTGGGAGTTGCGTAGGTTATTTCTGGCTTTCTGCGCGGTGGGGAAATAGTCGGTTTTATTGACGGGTGTGCGTAGTTGTGCTCGCGTTCTGAAATGTTGGAAGAAGGGCTTCTTCTTCTTCTGCGCGGCGCTGGTGTTTGGCGGCGGCTGCGGGAGTGATTGGGGTGTTGGGAGGTATTGGGTTTTTGCATGGTTTTGCGTGGGTGGGTGGATGGTGAGGCGGCATCCACGCTTGGGCTTCTTTGGCGATGGTGTTTTGGGGGGATGGATGATTAGCCGGCATTTACGTTTGGGCTTCGCGGCGGAGGGGGTGGTGGGTGGTGATGCTTCCTCGCCCATTTGAGGAGGCGAGTTTGCGACCATGCGGTCGGGTGAGAGGAAATGGTTCATGATGCTTGGTTCTATGGTTTTGTGTTGGTGTTGGATGGTTTAGTTGGGATTCAACTTTCTTTGTGGAATTTTGATGTAGAGGTTTGGTGTGATAGTGTGGTCTTTAGAAATGGACATGGATATAATTTATCTATACCTCTAGCTCGGTATAAAATATGTGAGCGCGCATGGAAACCAAAGTTCGCACATGGTAAGCGGATCTAGTCATAGCAGTACCATAGTTGCATTGCTGAGATGTTACATTTCTTGCCATATACATCCTACATCACTGGCCGAGAACCTCGAAGTGGATATTGACGTATAATACTATCTGGTACCATAGTTGCGTCACGTGAATACTACACCTATCTTCCATATACACTTTTTTATCACTGGTCACAAATGTCAAAGTGGATCCTTGTGTGTAATCAAGTACCATAGTTGCCTTGACTAGTCTACATTTTTCTACCCCAACACCGCCAATCAGCCAAAACCTTAAAACAATCGCAATAATTCCCAGCCGCAATCGTCGCAGTCACTGAGCCCAAACGCCGTACCCCTCAAAACAAATGCCGCAGTCCCCAATCCAATGTCGTAATATGCTCATCAACCGCTCGACTCGGAGCCCACCACCGCACCCTGACTCATCACACTCCATCCTGCCCAGTGGACTCCGCGAACCCACTCGTCTTCGCCTTCCTCTTGCGCTTGAGACTTTTGCGGTCTCGAGGTTTTCCATTGGACGAAAAAGCTTCCTTCGCTAATTCTTTGGCGTACGCACCTTCTGTGATTTTCCTGTTTGGCTCCAAAAGTGCGGCAACTCTGACTTGTTCGCAGTGCTCGGCTTGTATTTGACTGAGTGGCTTTGGCAGCTTTTGTGCCGGTTGAAGTGGGAGCGTCGCGAGTAAAGCGTCGACACGGGCGGACCTGCTGATTGGCGGTCTGATGATGTTGTCTGACGGTGCTGCAGTTCCGTCGGTGTAATGCCTCATAAGCTTGTTATTGTAGGCAGCGTTGATCTCTTTTAGCTGAGGCGGAGGCCTTTGAAGATTGGGCACCCAGCGTTTTGCAGCGGCTTTTTGGATCTTGAGCTTGCGCTCTTCCTCTTTGGAGATGTCGAGCTGAGGGATTTCGAGCTTCAGACCCATTGTAGACTTGTCTGGTGATGATGGTGTAGGGAAAAGCTGAACACCCTGCAGTCTACGTTGACATTGTGCCACCCACTTTGCACGCTTTTGACTTGATGTAGTCTGCAGACCTGTTCGGGTTTCCCTTTGTGTAAGGTGGTTGTCTCGCTTGGTGAGGCGCTGCGGGAGAGTGAGTGATGTAGGAAACCTCGAGCCTAGACACTGTGAGTAGGATACTAGGAGTCTTGTACCAATATTTTAGCATTGTGAGGCATTTATATGATATGAGCGTGGGGTGACTAGCGTTTCGAGTCATCGAGGTGAAGTTTGTAAGCATATTTAGGTACAATGAAAGTCTACATTGTTACCACTCGTGACCTACGTCCTCGTCATGCTGCAGACTCCCACACAGCAATCGTAGGACATGCTTCCCGTATGCCTATAGATATATCCTTCACTATCACTCCTCCTCACTCTCATCCTCGTCACTCACCTTCTCGCAGCCACAAGGCCACAAGTGGGCAACGGCATAGCCAGGGTACTTCTTCGTGAACTCATCGTACCAAATTTGCCATGTGTCCCATGTATTCTTAGTCTCAAGATCCAGTGTTACCCCCTGGTTCGGCTTTGGATAGTGTGGAAACTGCTCGTAAATCGCGCTGCGGAAGTTCTTGAACTCTGACCACTTGAGATAGTCGTCCGGTTCAAATTGATGGCCCACGCCCGTGCGCCGGTCGTTGTCGGCTTGGAAGTCACCTTTACGTCCGTGCTCTCCTTCTTTCAGGTATGGAACGGAAGGAGATTGGTGGTGCTTGGTAGCGCGATGTGGTACTAGGCAGCGTGTTAGCGAGATGTGCTGTATGGAGCAAGCGGAGTAAACAGCCGAGGAAATGGTATGTTTCGACCACCCCACGGGGTATTCAGATGACTGTAAAGAAGTGCGCGGCCAATGGAACAAACCGCATCGTATCAGGAGTATCCAAAGAAAAGCTGTCACTTACTTGTGGTCTCATGGAAGTACGTCTCGCCCTTGCGATAACCTTGGCCAGATGTCGCTGTGAGCACGCGATCCTCATTACGTCCGCGAATGATTATCGAAGAGCGGTCGGGATCTAAAGGATCCATACCAGTGGCCTGCATGAAAGCATCTTGGCGGGATCCTTTGGCGTTATATACCGAGGTTTGTTTTTCCGTTTGCGAAAGCGTTGGTATGCTGTAGTCGACCAGGGTGCCTGTGAACTCATCCTCAGCCGAATGTCCAGTATTTGTAGCAGCCGTGTTTGTTAGTGCGTCACGCTTCTGAAGCTTCGCGTGTGGCCGGCCGTCCGGTGGCTCATCAGGTGCGCTCCTCTTCCGGTGACTAGATTGACGGGAGGTACCACTGCCTTTGATTGTAATTGGCGAGTCATGTTTTTTGTTGGCGGGTATAGAGGGTTCATTGGCCTGTATCGGTGTTCTCACACTGGAAGATGTCGGGGTGGTGGGGGCTGGGAAGGAAACGGCGTCATCAGCATCATCGGCTTCTTCTTTGTCATCTGCGACTTAGACTGTCAGTATATCTGCGCGCATTCAATACGATGGGAAAGAAACCTACTAGATAATGTCGACTTCGGATTGCGTCCAAGAGCAAGTGTCTCCTTCTCTTCGATCCAGTTCGCGAGCCTTGATTTCGCTAGTCCCTCGTCCTTCAGCTCTTGCCTCTTCTCCGCGCCTGCATACTGCTCTACAATGTCAAGTAAGTCGTCCACGCTGTACTTGAGCAGACCCTTGGATAAGCGAGCATACGGCCTCTTTTTGTTGCCTAAGCCGTCTTTGTTGTACAGTGGAATCTTCAAGCCGTTCGCCTCATAGAACCTAGCCCCGGAAGCCCGCGTTGGGGTGGAAGGTGTAGCTGGGGTCGCACTTTTGGACCTTGCCCTCGCATTCGGTACAGTGGTACTCTTCTGCTTTGAAGTACTGCTCACGTGGCGTTCAGGAGCCTTTTTCTTACCCTTTCCTTTGCCTTTCCTCGGCGTAGCCAAAGTCATGGCGCGCGCGACTTCGTTGTCGTCGATAATGTTCGTTCGGTCCATGTTGTCGCTGAGTTAGACGGTATCTGCAGTCGTGCGAGAGTTGGAAGGAGATAGAATGAGAAATCGAGCAGTGTGAGATTGGTTGAGGGGCGGAAATCTGCGTTTGTCTCGAACTACATTCACAATGAGGTGAAGGCCGTGAATACACCGCAAAAAAGCCTGAGCTCCGCACATTACATACCTTCACTTTCGAACCGACCAAATACCGGACGCTCATAGTACCCCTGAAAAACCAATGAGTGGGTGTTCATATAAGAAAGCGTGCAGTAACCTAATTGGCCGGACACAGAGCAGTTACCTTATGTGGGCCATCCGAGTACAAAGCGATTGATAGACGCGACCAAACGGTGATCCTGAAAGCTGGCGAAACTACAAAGAAATCGCGTTGACACAGTGTGACAATTGAAAATACCTAAAGTCAAAGTACACACTTCCAAAGTGTGTATCGATATTCTGAAGCTCGGGTAGCTTGCATGCTGTCGCATGTCGAATGTCAGCCTTGGCTTGAGTGTATCGCAACCATGGTTCTCAGTAGCTTGCGTGATAATCTGCTCTTTTTCTCGTGCTGTCTGCCATGTCCTTCAGGGCACATTACGTCGAGGTATTGACCGAACATGGGATGAGCACCATGTATCCACGCTCTTTTTTCACTGACACTACCTAGGCATGTTTGTTCTGCCCTACCTGCTGAGTCCAAGTATTGCAGATGCTCCGCGGCGGGCGTAGTAATCCAAGATTCCAAGGAGAAGAAGTAAGGAATAATACAGTGATCGAAATATGGAGCAGTGGCATAAGTTAGTGTACAGACTCTGCTGATTTGGCCACAGCGTCTGATGCGTCATCGCAGTACCGTGTTTGTCGGTGGAGGCTGATCGTTCTCCCGTGGACATACCGCCGATGTAGTGTAGATGGCCAGCATCGCCCGTATTCATAACCATAGACCAGGGCATGTTGCGATGGAAAGTCATAATCTGGAGTTGGGACGTCTCGCATCGCAGAGTCGAAGTTGGCAAAGAGTTGCGGTCGGCGTGCCACGTGAAACGAGGCGGAACCGACCGCCGATCTAAAGGAGCCGAGGCATACCCGCCTCCAGCTTTCGGATCGTCATTTCGCGACTCTCCAGTTCCATCACCAACTTCGACCTGCGCGTGCTACTGGCATTGCGTATCGTGCAGTCAACATGGTCCGCGAGGATATAATACAGTCGGCGGTGTCTTGTAGGTTGACGCACGACACGTTCTACGCGACGACACTAACAGCCGCCAGTCCTCCAGGACCCGTCCGTTGCCAGCGCGCCCCTTGAGAAGCGCATCGCCTTTCTCCAATCCAAGAACCTCACACAAGAAGAAGTCGATGTCTCGCTCGCGCGTGCAGCCGAAGACCCCAGTTATGCTTCATCGCCTCCACCCCAGACATCCGCAGTAGCCAGCAATGCGTACAGACCACCACCGGCAGCCCCGTATGGGAGCTATCCGCCCCAACAATACTGGCAACCGCCTCCGCCGCCCCCGGAGTAAGCATAGATATTACCTACGTCCGGTTCCGATGCTGACAGATACAGACCGCCGAAACGCGACTGGCGCGACTACTTCATCATGGCGACCGTCATGGGCGGTGTAGGATACGGCCTCTACTTCACAGCAAAGCGATACGTCCTACCCCTGATACAACCACCCACGCAGCCTCAGCTGGAGCAAGACAAGGCTTCAGTCGACGAATCCTTCAAGCGCGCGTTCGATCTCCTCGAGCAACTCAACACCGACACAACCGCTCTCAAGGCATCGGAAGAGGCACGGACAACAAGACTGGATGACGCGCTTGGTGAGGTGGAGAGTGTCCTGACCAGCCTCAAGGAGTCGTCGAAGAGACAGGGAGACGACAACAGACGTATCGAGGATGACGTCCGCGGCTTGAGGGACCTGATACCGAAGGCATTGGATTCACAGAAGGAGTCCACCGACAAAAGGCTGCAGGAGCTGTCAACTGAGCTAAAGAGTCTGAAGACGTTGATTGGCAACAGGATGAGCTCTCCGGCACCACCACGCCCACAGAGCACCTCGGGCTACTATGGACAAGCGCAGTCGCAGTCGCAGACATCCAACACAAACGGCACACCCGCTGCTTCGGCATCGACACCCCAGCCGTCCTCTACCCCTGCGTCCAGTGAGCAGACCAACGGCACGAGCGCTACCGAGACCCAGACAAATGGTAGCGCAACGCCCGCGCCCACTCCCAGCCCTGCCACCGAGAAGCCTCTCCCTGCGTACGGTAGGCCGTCGCCGGGACGCGCTGCTATCCCAGCATGGCAAATGGCTGCCGCGAAGAAGACCGAAGAGGCGAAGAAGGACACGAGCGAGAGCGGAACTGCGGTCGATGCCGGCGCCAGTGCGTAGAATGATCGTCGCTGTATTATCTGAGAAACCTTGTGCATCTTTGGCGTAGTTATTCTGCTATGTATTATTTGGATAGGGACAAACTCATGGTTACGCTTTGAAAATCATAATCTCTGTGGACTGCAATGCAACGGCCTGTTTGCGACGATGGATTATCCTGAAATAGGCTAGGGTTCTACGTATATTCACCCTTGACCTACCCAGAGTACGACTGCGCATGCACGCGATATCAGCGCCCCAGTTATCGCTAAAAGAGAATGCATGTGCATATCAAATGCGATGATGTGGTTGCTCAACTGCTCGTTTCCCTACCCCTAACGCAAGCTAAGTCGCTTCCGGGCCAACGTGATGTCGTGACGTCGCGATGTCGCGTTTCGCGTCAATGCTCCCACCTAACGTCCACCAGCCATCTCAAAACAAACTTCCAGCCTCCAGCGTCATTGACATCGCACAGAATCCGATATCTCATGCACGATCGATCTCGCCAATCTGTAGCTCAGACAAGAGGCTCCACACTCCCCTGACGCTACGCTTGTGTTGACGTCGACTGTCACCCTCTTTCGGCTGCAGGTGCGATGCTAGCTCTGGGTCCATGGGCTATCGTGCTGTCCCTTGCATGACGGGTGTCCAGTCCCCGTAGCTTTGTGGAGGCATGACGCAGTCTAGGGTATGCTCTGACAGACAATATTGACGTCTGCGTGGCTTTGCATAGCATCAATCGCATTGTAGAAACACTGGCGCACTGTCAGTCATGTAGAAAGAGAAGGAATTGCGAAGGGCTGCATTGCATTCGGTGCATTGGCCTGCAGCACCACCACCGCAGTATGACGCGGCGACTCTCACGTCTGCTAGTCATTGCATCGCATACCTCCGACAAGCGCAATCAGCTCCCGCCTCTAGGAAGGGACCCGCTTCCCGGATCGCCATATGTCTATCCCCTTTCCAGTGCACATCAATCCCATGCTGGTATGGCGCTTTGTGGAGGTCAGTATGGTATTCTGGACTATGTGGTCATAACTGTGATCGCGGTATGGGATCTAGATCGCGGCCCTGCCTCCCTATTGTTTCGAACACCATGTTGCATCAGAGGCTTGAGAGGACATGGTGGACAGCATGACGTAGCATCTCTGTTCACATCGTCTACATAAGGAGGTAATCCCATCTTCTTTGTTCTACATCAACACATCATCACATCACAATCAACTACTCTCGTCTTCAACACTTCCACCACTACATCCACTACCCAAGCCAACAATATCAACACCATCATCATGAGCTCCAGCGAGATCCCCAACGGTAACGCCATGGACAACGACTACAAGTCCCGTACCGGCCAAAACGAGATCCCCGTTCAGAACGACGAGGCGCCTGTTGAGGCGACCGAGTACACCAACGGTGGTGACTCTGACGCACAGTTGGGTATGTATTTCAACCGGCATTAGCGATTTGGATAACTCTAACAACAATCAGAGCGCGACGAGAAGGACGCCATCGACAAGAGCAACATCCTCGATGAGCGCACACGTGGTGCTACCAAGAAGTCTGGCACTTACACCGAGCCTGGTGATGAGGAGGGTCTTGGTGCCGCTGCTGATGGCTCTGATGGTACCTCTGCTACTCGATAGAGTGTGATGCCCTATATAGAAAAGAGCAGGAAGTTAATAGCGTGCCTTCATCAATTTGATATCCCATTTATTTGAACCATCTTCTCATTTCCATGCTTGTGTAGTCCATGTCTATTATCCTCCTTTCCGGACGCTGTTCAATGGCTATCATTAGCAACTCATATCTGCACGGAATGTTGAATATCATACGTATATCTCCCATCACAGGCGTAATTTGACGAGCTATGCAAAATATCATTTCACCATACTGCTCATTGTGTAGTCAACCTTTCCCCATTTTTCGCGCTTGCCTATTCTGGATACCTGACCAGCACCGTGTTGACCCTTGCAAGCGACTTCTTTACAATCGTTATATCTCGAAGTGCCTTCTCCTGCTATACCCGACTAACCCATTCGAAATGTTCGCTTTCACTTTCACCACCTCACACGCAGGGTCTTCCCGCATGGTCTTAGCTCAGCTGCCGTTTGCTGTGGGGTCATACGTGGATCGAAAGTCACTTGCGATCACCACCAAACTGCCTGATGGTCATAAAGGAATAACCTTGTGACATAGCCGCGCTACTTCCGTGCCTTGGTGCTGTCGCTTTCTCAATCTGCATCTGCGATTGTCGCGACGCTGTTGTGACATCACGTAACAAACCACCGCTAACGCACAAGATTACCCGTTTGAGCAGGCGCAACGATGGCGGGAAGAGGAAATGCAAAGACTATCGCGAATGGTAAGTTCCTAAGTTCCGTCGAGCGAGTATGATGTAGCGATCGCCACTTCCTGAAGTAGCCACCAAGCTTGGTCGAACCCGCTTACAGCACAAGATCTCTATACTGATCGTATCCCAGAGCGCGCAGCCCGAATTAAAGCTACCAAACAGCGCGTCTTCATCTCCGGTCTAAAGGGCGACCACACACTCGAAACAGGCGTCGCGTACCACTACCGAGGCCACTTCATCTACGCCTATCCCGTCGGTAACCCGATCGAGCCAGTGCCCTTCTCGACCAAAAAGGGCATCAACATCGTAGGGGTCGTCACAGATCAAGCACCGCTCTACGATTCAAAGAAACCGGATCTCGTCCTTGAAAGCACTGTTGCTGCTTTGCAGAGGTCTTGTGTTCACGAGTGGGAATGGCAGAAGGAGCAGGAGGAGATCAAGAAGCAAGAGACGAAGAAGGCGCTGGAAGAGGAGAAAGCTGGGGAGAAGAAGAAGGAAAGCAAGGTCGAGACTGAGACTGTAAAAGGTAGCGCAAAGGACATTGATGCTGCTGTAACCCCCAAGGCAAGCGCGGTAGATCCGTTACCCAGTCAGGCTCCTTCACGTGTCCCATCCTTCACGACACTGCTAGTACCCTCGCAAGTATCTTCAAACCTCGGCTCACGATCCACTTCTCGCTCTCGGCCAACACCACCTCACCGTACCTCATCCTCCTCAACCAACGTCCCACGCATCGGCACGGTCGAAGCTCCTCCCACCACCAGCGACTGTCCACAAAGCTTCTTCCCAGCAACAAGCTACACACCGCACGACCGCGGCCACTACCTCGCCTACTCCGCCCCCGGCTCCCGCAACGCCTCGGTAGACAACACACCCTTCGTCTCACGCCCCGTATCGCCAACCCACCAGCACGGTCTCAGCATCCGCAACGGCCAAAACCATACCTCTCTCCGACCCATAGCGAGCACCTCGCGTCTGAACCAACTTCTAGCCCAAGAAGGAATCCGGCGATCATTGAGCCCCCTCGCAGATGTTGCCGAAGCTGGAACTGGAACTGCGCCTCACCACGCTCCACAATGGCAAGAAGAAGATATGGTAGCCAACCTCTCCGTCTCCCAGGGCTGGATGGATCCCTCCGACATTTCCGCTTTCGTAGAAACTGTTTCTCGTCGGCCTACTCCTTCGCCATCTCGACTCTCGTCACGCTCGCACACACCGAATAGGTTTCGCAGCTGTAGTCCACGAGGTACCTCACCTGATGAGGGTGGTGGAAGTGGTTTGTATCTCCATGGCCTGGGTCATCCGGATGTGATTCGCGAGTCCAGGGCTCAGACTAGGGAGAATAGTCCGTTCCGTGCACCAGACTATCGGTCGAAAGAGAGTGCGGTGTATTTGAGGGGTTTGGCGCAGAGGGATTATGAGACGGGTGATACGGGGTATGAGTTGAATGCTCCTGCTAGACAGGAGGGTGGTAAACATCCTGCGAGCAGTCTTCAGTCATCGAGGGCGCAGACTCCTGTCGGTCTGAGGGGAGGCTCAGGCCATGCGCCGTCGCAGCAGCGCGATACCAACCCCGCATTCACCTTCCCACCGGCCCGTGCACCAGATACATCTTCTTTCCCCGCGTTCATGGACCCTGTTCCATCTCCCAGCTACATCGTCCAGGCCGATAAGAAACCGCTAAACACCGGTCGTCCGCGCGCCGCTTCAAAAGCTCTAAACGAAGCTTACAACGCCGCGAACCCATCTTCAACACCTCGACCTGTCTTCTCGTTTCCCTCGCCTGACGAGCAGACGGAGGGCAACGACACCGGTGTCAATGCCGATCGTGGTGCTGATACCGAGAACACAGTCTTCACCGCCCGTTGTCCAATCCACTCCGAGTCCTGCAACGGTCAGGACGTAGTGCACACATACATAACGGAGCGTGCACGAAACGGCGCTGGGTTCAAGGACTTGTTCCCGACGATCGAGTGTGAGGATGGGAGGGTGATGGTGGATTGGGCGAGGATGAAGGATGAGGAGATGGAGAAGCTGAGGGCGTGATCGAAGTTGACTCCGGAGTTGAGTCGATTCATGACGGGTATGTTGAAGCGGCGAGGGGAACGGAATGATGTGGTAATGGAATGGAACACATGTGGAAGGGAAAACACATTGTACGATACATATACAGATACACAAGCGAGATGAAAACTGGATAAGTAGCAGGTCATGTACGGACCTCGATTCAGTATAGAAATACAGCAAAGAAACAGACACCGACAACGTGAGGAAAGAATGAACAACCGTTGTGATACCGACCCAATGAAACGGCCTGCTGAAACTTTTCCTTCTTCATAAACACGACGCTCTCCTGGGTATCTCTACTGTTTCAACAATACACTCCCCCGTGACACCCCGCTAACGCCTCGATACGGACTGACTAGATTGTTCGGTAACGCGTGCTGCTTTTCGTGTGAGGCGAGTTTACTCGTCGGCTGCGACAGCCTTCTTGCGGCCCCTATGTACCATTAGTCAAGAATCTGTTGTTGTCCCGTTGGATCAAACGTACCTCTTCTGGGGAACCTTTTTAGGCGCGGGAGCTTCCTCCTCGACGTCACTGCCGGCCTCAGGCTCGACCTTGGCCGCTGCGGCCTTCCTGCCTCGGGCCTTCTTGGGAGCCGGGGCATCCTCAGCCATATCCTCGTCTTCGTCTACTGGCTCTTGCTTGGGCGCAGCCTTCTTGCCGCGGGCCTTCTTGGGGGCAGGGGCCTCGTCCTCGCTGTCGTTGTACTTGGGGGCGTTCTTGGTCCTGCCGCTGGCACGAGCCTTCTTGGCCGGAGGAGCTGCCTCTTCCTCGTCGCCGTCTTCTTCCTCAGCGACCGCTTTCTTGGCTGGCCGACCACGCTTCTTCGGGGCGGGAGCTGGGGCATCCTCCTCCTCTTCATCCTTGACCTTCTTGGCTTTGGGACCGCGCTTCTTCGGGGCTGGCGCAGGCGCGTCCTCATCGTCTTCGTCTTTGACGGCGTTCTTCTTGCCCTTGGCTGCGGGCTTCTTCTTAGGTTTCTCGTCCGCGTCATCGCCGTCCTCGTCGTCGGCCTTCTTGGCTTTCTTCGCTCGAGGCTTCTTAGCGCCTGGTCGGTTATATTCAACATCCTCAGGCTGATGATGTCAGTAAAGCTGAGTCTGGATATTTTGTTGAAATGGTGTGAAGATACTTACATGCGTGCAGTCGGCATCTGGGATATGGCCGTTCTCCAGCGCAAACTTGACCGACTCCTGGAACTCTGCAGGCAACTCGTCGTAGCCGTCGACCATGTCAGTGTCGCCTCCGGACACCTCGATCAGGTTCTCAATCTGCTTGGGGGTAACGCATCCCCTGGACACATCAGTAAATTTGCTGGAAGACAGATCATGGCAGACCCTACCAATGGCGGTATTGCCAGCTGACATGCTCATGGATGGTGACCTGAACCGCAAAGCGGAACTGGCCCTTTGTGATCTTTGAGCCAGCTTCTTTGCATTCCTTGACTTGACAGCCAGCGCGGTTGTTAGGGGAGACCTCTAATGTATGGTTAATCTAGTCCGGAGTTGCGTAAAACAGTAGATATTTCATGAGATAGGTATTCAGTACTTACCGACGCGATAGACACCCATAGTCGCGGTATGTCAATGTGCTGTGTGGTTGGTAGAGGTTGAGCTGCAATAATTTGCGAACACGCGCGGAAGTAGTCGCTTATGTATGCGAACGTCTTAGGCTGCGACGGTCAATGTGTCCAGTCTTGGTTCAACTGCTGGAAATGTCGCGAAATGTTTGCGCGGGTCGACGCGTGAGGTCACTGGGGGCGCTAGTGGCAGGCAGCCTGGAGCTCGGGCGCTGATCCCTGTCCGTCACTTTAGCGTGTCTCGGATCTGGAGAGTGCAGTTCGTCATGATCCCAGTCGGAAAAAGTCAAGACATGCCGCTGGCACGAGCATTCACCCTCACCCCTCGCCCGCCACCCCTCAATGAGCGCTGCGCATACATGCTTTCGCAGCGCCCTCTCACAGGCTTTCCGTCCGAACCCTCGTGGCATCGCTGCTCCCTGTTCTGTCGCCGCCTTCCTCGTTCCCGCCCTCGGTAGACGCTCCAAGCGCACCTTCACATCTGGGAAACGCCGCCCCGCAGACGCTCAGTCACAAACCCAGCTTTCGACGCAAGATGGAGAAGATGTGATTGTCCCAGTATATCCGCCCAAGCCCAAGGAACGCATCCACTCATGCATACCCTACCCACCTCGAGAGGTCCGTCATGATGTCAACACATGGCTCGCTGCCATTGAGCCATTCCTTCCGAAATACTTGCGGCAAGAGACCGATGAGAACCCAGAAAAGCCGATAACGTCACTCGACCTCGCCCTGTTCATCAACAAGGCGCAGGATGCCTCTGTGGACATTCTGAGCCACCTTGGTTTGGAGGCGGGGAAATGGCCAACGGTCATCTGGATGGTCAGGAAGCTCACGGAGGACGGGAAAGGTTCGAACGATCTCACTGAACATCTCGAGCAGTATGCAAACGCTGTGTTGCAAGGAGAAGAGCACCGGCCTCTGAAAGAGCTGACTGAAGGTCCTATGCGACTCCAACGAACCTTTCCGAATCGCAAGCTGCAGCGTACCCTAGACGCTGTAACATCCGCTCCAGAGTCGATCCGATATCCGCATGTTCCTATTAAGCGAGCCCTTGGACAGCTGTGGAGGAGCCTGGGGCACATGATATTGTCAGCTGCGGAGCAAGACCGTGGCGGGCAGGAGACTGTCATGCCGCGTGTCTTGGAGATGATTGCATACCTGCACCATCTTGGGTTCATGCCTGATTCAGTGTACACATATCGAAATCCTCTGGACAAGCATGCGCTTCAACAACCTCCGACCCTTCACATGCTTTCGACTAAGATCTTGACAGCCCTGTCTGACGCCACCTGGAATGCTCACGAAGCTTCCGTAAAGACCGCCAAGGATCGCGCGAATGCCCACTACTTCCTCGGTCATGAGATACCTGGGTCCCGTTACAAGGTTCAGGTCACAGAGGTAGCTCCGGAGCTATGGCTAGAGCTCTGTTTGTGGTCATGTTTACACGGAGGTTGGACACTTGATGGTGCTTACATCCTGGAGAAAATGGCAGCCAAACAAGGGGACCACAGCTGGGCGCTTATCAGCTGGAGGGAGATCATGGAAGCAGAGCAACAGAAAACACCAGCACCATCAAGTCCGTGGAACTTGGTTCCGATGAGCGGAAATTCTTTGCCACGTGCAGAAGACCGCGCCCGAACCCGAAGAACTATAAGCAGCGAAGTCGTTACGGCTTTTGTCGATGGGCTTGTCAACCATATGCGACTGGGAGTTGGAGCTCGTGGTGCTACACCAGAGAGCCTAGTTGCTTCTATCAAGACCTTGAAGGACTTCTTAGACAGGAACAACCTAAGTCTCGGTTCATCAGCTTGGGATTCCATCATGGTCCGGCTTATCGAGTCGGGCGGCTTCGTACCAGAGAAGCGACCAGAGTTACTCTTGCGCATCTTTGAGCTGGCTCCAGGGTTTGGCGCTGAGGTAGGCGCTGCAAACGCGTCTGCTTCGTCAAGTACCGAAGTACCCTACTTTTTTGAGCCAACCACTATTCCACTCAGCATGTTGCATCGGGCCATGCGTGCTTTCATCAACAACGGTGACATCCAGGGAGCATTGACGACATTGTCTATGCTTCAACAACATACCGATGACAACAAACAAAAGTCTGTACAGGAATTTTTCGAAGTCCTTCGAAAAAGTCCGCAGCTACGACAAGACGAGCCGTTTACAAGCCATCTTCCACCGGTTGAGTTCCCAGCTTTCGAGAACAAGATTCCTATACCTCTCCTCGCGCGGTTGCTGGATCTGGTTACCGAGTCGAAGATGTACGACGTGGGCCGTTGGCTGCTGTTTTCCGATGATCTGGACGGTCCTATCATCGGTCGCGAGTTGCACAGTCATCGCAGCATGTCCGCATCCGTTGTTCGCTTTGGCACAATGGCTGGGGAGAACGAACTCGTCTTGGACGTGATCAAAAGCGCTGGAACTTGGAACGAGAAGCACCAGCAGCAGCGTATGCCGGCTGAAATCTTGATAGCCTTGCTGTGTTCTCAGATCAAGCTTCAGAACTGGGATACCATCAGAGGCATGCAAAAGTATGTGGAAGAGGCATCTACGTTCAGGCCGCGACCTATCATCATCTCAAGCTTTGCTGCAGAGCTTCTTCGAACCTCAAATGGTCCCCACGAAGCAAAGACACGTGCTCAGGACTGCTTCACTGGACTGCTCTTTGCATGGGAACAGATGATACTCAGCAACATCCGCGAGGAACTGTACTGCACACTGTCCATCCTATCAACTGTAGATGGTGAGTGGAAGGATTACTGCGCCCGGTTCCTTTCATTCTCATCCCGTCAAGCGGTCAATCTTTCCACAGATGACTTCAACCGCGTACTAAGCGGTGTGCTTGACGGATACAGCAGTGCCAAGGGCAAAGAGATCGTCGAGATATGGTGTCACCAGTCACGCAAGAATTTTGAGCCCTACAGAGCCCCTGGTGGATTACCCACAATGCCACAGTATCGCGTCACCAAGAGTAAAGAATACGAAGATCGACCAGAAGACATTGAGATTGTCCAGGATGGTGGCGCCACGCTCATCCTACAGGGGCGAATCCACCCTAACCGACAGACGATCTGGGCCATCATTCGGAAGGTCCAAAACGAGGTGGAGCTCGAGGAAAGACGTGGCAAGGGGTTATCAGAGGCCACGCGTGCAGAACTGCACGATACGCTCAAGTGGGCTGCGCAGATGCTCTACAATCTGGGCTTTGATCACGAAGATATCATTCGTGGTCTAGGCAATCTCGCACCGCTTGCCAAGCTTGAGGCTCCTGCCTCGCCTAGAGATATCTTCAACGTCGAAGGCGCCGAGCCGACACTGGGAGAGAACACGTGAGCTGCTTACTGCGCATTGACCAATCGCAACTGCACCGTAACCGGCTCACTTGTCCTTCCAGGGACAGAGAGCAGCTAAATGTTTGAAGTCCGCTATTTCGGCCACTTGCATATAGCCTACCGGACTCCTGTACATACATACATTTGCGTAATGCTACCTCGAAGAAGAATGGGCCCGAAGATGATGACATCTAAAAGTATGGGGACCCCTTGTCGATTTACCCCGTTGAAGAAAGTGAAGATATGTTGCGCGTGATCCAGATTTTCCGACCACAAACCCTGAGTGTGTTCGTCGCTTCTAGGCTCCACCGGTACTCCACCCTGTACCAAGCAAAGCCATGTCAACGGCGGCTCGGCCAGACCGACCTTTGGGCATCTGCTGGTTTGACCGACAACGTTGCAGTCAACAACCCAACAAAAGTAAATGTTGTCTTTTGATAACGGGCCTCTCTGCACCTACGAAAATTGCTAGATGGTGTGCAGCTGCAATAGCTAGCGTCTGGGGTATACTTGGGTGGTTAGACCAATGAAAAACCTGCTTTACATGTATGTACTCCGTATGTAGGTGTCCGCGGGCCAATGAGGAGCGCCCGACAGCCAATAGAAGTATATGCACATATGACATGTTGAAGATCGTGCAGTAAGCTCGAGAAAGAAAGTCTAGGGTGGGTGGGGGAGGCAGCCGGCAGGAGGTGTGGAGGCGGTGGAAGTCTCTTCTCTACATGTCTTCTGTGTTCGGGCGTAAGCTCACAGTAGAACTTGGGCGTACCCAAGAAAGTACATGAAGTTTGGCATCTTATGTAATGGTCGTAATCATTGTCGGCCGCAACAACACGGCGCAGTTTTGACACCTTCAAAGTTTGGATATACGTGGATGCCTGCCAACAAAATGCTTACTCTTCAGGTACATGTGCGGACGCCCAATAGCCAATGAAGAGCATATGCACATGTGACTTGTCGAAGATCTGGGTATTGAATCCTAGCTCCGGGCTCGAAGAAACTCGACCCAACCGGAACGCAGTGGATCGGCCCACCAATGCACCCCGAGCAAGGTAAAGCTCAGCCTCACAAAAAAAAAGTTGACGCAAAAGTTAACGCAAGGTGTCCAAAACAAACAAACGGTTCAGCGGAGAAGGCTCCATAGTCATTGCACGGAAGAGGAAGATCAGAGCAAGCCCTGGAGGCAATTAATTCACTTGTGCGATAGACAGACGAGTGTCTCAGGGACAGACACCTGCATTGTGACAAGCAGGAGCGGCCCGCAAGTTGCTGTACCTTTACTGTTTGAGGCGCCGGCTACGTTTGCACCTCTTCACCGCTTCTTTGCCAGCGGGCGCCAACGTCAATACCAGCCCAGTGCGTATCGATATGGGTGCATCTGGAGGGGCACAATGCCGGGCGACGTCAAGCGTACTCCAGTTTTGGCAGATCACGATCGCATCGCGAGGTCGGGGTCGCGTAGGCGCAAATTTCGAGTTGATGGGTTTGCTAGGGCGGATATTAAAGATGACGATGTAAGGAGAAGACGGGCAGCGGTAATCTACTCTCTGCGTCGTGCTGTTCGTCGCAGCATGTGCAAACCCGGGGCCTGCGTCTTACAGCCAACCAATAGGCTGAAGCCGTTACCGTGTATTAGCCCCGTGTTGCCTCATCGCTG